TTTGCTTAGAATGTGTGAGGAAGCCGTGTAGTGTAACCTATCAGGAACAAGGCAGGTAACTTACAGACAACAGATTCAAAACAGCATTAGATAATAGTAAAACTACAAAGACATACAGGGGAAATCAAGAGTGATCCTGACAACATATTAATAGAAGGTCATGTGCACAGAGCAGGGGGGAACCCCAGAGTGAAGCAGGGGGACAGGAGGAGGCTGGTATCCCAACCCTGGAGACTCCCGGACTATCAAGGACTATCAGTACGGGCACCAAGGACTACATTCCAACTGCCAATGAGACCACGGGGAACTGGAGTGCCTTCAGAGGCCAAGAACTCTTGAGGTCATCCACCCCCTTTTGGATCTACCACACGGGATGGGAGAAGCCCGGATCCTTCCTCGCAGGATCCAAGGTCATAGGAACAACAGCCAGAAACCCTGAGAGGTCCGCAGAAACAGAACAGTAAACTTCCTACAGGACTAGGGAGAGGAGCTTTCTCTGGTCCTTACTTAGTTCCAACACTGGATCCCCACCCTCTCTTGCAATGACCATCAGGGCTGCTCCAGAGCACCCCTCCAAACATACACACACACACAAATTAGAGTAGATAGGCAGAGAACAACAAGGAAAGCTTAGAACCAGACAGGAAATGGTCAGCATGAACTCACACATACCTTACTTAAAATCTGCCAAGTTCAACAAAATTCAACACTATAAACTGCTAAATACTAAAATGAAAATAGACATGAGACAGCTGAATAGTACCCTATAGCCATTTTAAGGTGTATAGCAGCCAGTTCTGTGTATAAATTAAAATTGAAATGTCAATGAAGTAGTCACAGAATGCGGTTAAGAACTTGCATTTTTTTTTAACATATTGGTTACTCAATACCATGTCAATTAATTCCATAATGTTGTAAATTGCCATTGGATTTATATTGTGGCTTTAAATTGATCAGGATGATATTCTGCCAGCTCTTCCTTCAGACCAGAGATGGTCTCCCCAAGAAACTGTTGAATTTACCTGGACATTAAGATGCTGGACTCTATGCTTGGTATACTCTTGCAATGAGAGAATCTTGACTGAATTTGAAACGCAATACAGCAACCAGGTGGAAGAATCCACCACGGGGGGAGGGCACGGAGAGGGGTTGGGGGATTCCCAGAGCCTATGAAACTGTGTCATACAATGCAATGTAATTAATAAAATATATATATATTAAAAAATTCTACCAAAAAAATAAAAATAAACATTGGGGGAAGAAAAGATATATCCTCTATTTTAAAAAGAAGCTAAAAATAAATAAATAACTATCACAAATTCTAAAATGCAGAGATAACCATGGTTAACATTTGGTCTTCACTCTTTCACGAATATTTACAATTTTTGTTCAAAATTGGGTGTGTGCTTTCTGTATGCTGTTTGCTTAACAGAGTGCATATATATCAAAAGATAACTTTTATTGACTTATCACTATGTGCAAAGAATGATGCAAAATCTTTCTTGTAAATCATCCTGCTTAGCACAGGCCCTTTTGAGGAACCATCTTCTCCATTTACAGATGAGGAAATTGAGGATGATGGAAGTAATTTGCTGGAAGGCATGTAGCTACTAAACGATGTGGCCAAGATTAACACCCCGCTGTTCTTGTTTGACAAACCAAGTTCTAACCACACTCCTACTTTACATCCCAGGTCATTAAATGTCTTTGAACACAGGATTTCAAAAGCTGCTGTGTAATATCCATTATTACGCACACAGCATATCTTTATCCATTTAACCTTTTTCTTAGCATTGTGCAGATGAATGATTTCCAATGTCTTGCTGCTTTGTTTTTTGTTTGTGCGTTGTTTTTTTTCTTTTGTTTTATTCTGAAGATTCATTTATTTGACAAGCAGAAGGAGAGACTGAGAGCTTCTCCAGCTGCTGGTTCACTCCGCAAAGAACCAAGACAGCTGAGGCTGGGCCAGGCCAATGTCAGGAAACGGCAAGTCCATCTAGGTCTCCGTGGCAGGGGACCAGATGCTCGGATCCTCCTCCTCTGCCTTCCGCATGCACATTAGCAGGGAGCTGGATTAGAAGTGGAACAGCTGGGGCAGGCTAAGCTTCTGCCTGCGCCGCCTGCATCCCACATGGGCACCTGCATCTCATATGGGAACTCTTCAAGTCTGGATAGCTCACTTCTGATCCAGCTCCCTGCTAATGTGGGAATCTGGGAAAGCAGCATAGGATAGCCCAAGTCCTTGGGCCCCTGCACCCACATGGGAGAACAGGAAGAAGCTCTTAGCTCTTTGGGAAGTGACCCAAAAGATGAAACATCTCTCTCTTTCTCTGTCTTTCCTTCATTCACTATAATTCTGCCTTTCCAGTAAAAATAAATAAATCTTTTTTAAAAAGTGGAACTGTTAAGACATTAATACAGGATTCCCTTATATCAGTCTGCAGATTTCTCACAACTGCTGGTCCCTGCAACTTCTTGCTTTTTATTTATTTTTTTTAAAAATTTGGGTCCGGCGCGGTGGCCCAAGTGGTTAAGGTCCTCGTCTTGCACGCCCGGGATCCCATATGGGCGCCGGTTCTAATCCCAGCAGCCCCGCTTCCCTTCCAGCTCTCTGCCTGTGGCCTGAGAAAGCAGTCGAGGACGGCCCAAAGCTTTGGGACCCTGCACCCGCGTGGGAGACCTGGGAGAGGCTCCTGGCTTCGGATCAGCATAGTATCGGCCGTTGCGCTCACTTGGAGAGTGAATCATTGGACAGAAGATCTTCCTCTCTGTCTCTCCTCTCTGTATATCCACCTTTCCAATAAAAAAATAATAAAAATAAATCTTTTAAAAAAAATTTATTTATTTATGGGCCTGGCACGGTAGCCTAGTGGCTAAAGTCCTTGCCTTGCATGCATCAGGATATCATTTGAGTGCTGGCTCATATAGTCAGCTGCTCTATTTCTTTCAAAAAAATTATTTATTTCTATTGGAAAGGCAGATCTATAGAGAGAAGGAGAAACAGAGAGGAAGATCTTCTGTCCACTGGTTCATTCCCCAAGTGACCGCAACAGCTGGAGCTGAGCCAATCCGAAGACAGGAGGCCAGAGCTTCTTTCAGGTCTCCTACGTAGGCACAGGGTCCCCAGGCTTTAGGCCGTCCTCCACTGCTTCCCCCGACCACAGCGAGCTGGATATGAAGTAGAGCAGCTGGCATATGAACCAGTACTCACATGGGGTCCTGATGCATCCAAGGCAAGGACTTTAGCCATTAAGCTATCTTGCCAGGCCCAACATCTTGCTTTTTAAATAAAATATTTAAGAAGCACATTTTCTGGCAGAAAACATTTGGGTTAGCAGTAAACCAATGGTAGGGCCCTGCTCCACTACTAATCCAGCTTTCTGCCAGTGCAAAGGAGAAAGGCCCAAGTGTTTGGGTTACTCAGAAGCAGCTCCAGGCTCCTGCCTTTGGCCAGGCCCAGCCCTGACTATTGTAGTTATTGGGAATGTAAACCAGCAAACCAAAGAACTCTCTCTGTGTCTCTCACTCCCTGTAACTTGGCCTTTCAAATAAATTTAAAAAAAAATTTTTTTAATATGTCTTTGTTCACAAATCTTTGTCATGTGAGACCTGTCTTGTGATTTTTTCATTGTATATGTTTACAAGTAAAAACTCAGGTCCTCTTGGCATAGTGCCCTAGCGGCTAAAGCCCTCACCTTGAATGCACCGGGATCCCATATGGGCGCCGGTTCTAATCCCGGCAGCTCCACTTCCCATACAGCTCCCTGCTTGTGGCCTGGGAAAGCAATATCAAGGATGGCCCAAAGCCTTGGGACCCTGCAGCCGTGTAGGAGACCTGGAAGAATCTCCTGACTCCCAGCTTTGGATCGGCACAGCACCGGCCATTGTGCTCGCTTGGGGAGTGAATCATTGGACGGAAGATCTTCTTTGCTGTCTCTCCTATTCTCTGTATATCTGCCTTTCCAATAAAAATAAAATAAATCTTAAAAAAACAAAAACAAAAACAAAAAACCCAAAACTCTGGTCCAAATGCCAGCCTCAGCTAAAATATACTGGAGTCACAGAAAATGACATTTTTTTAAACCTTTTTACTATTTTGTTTTGTTTTTCTTTTTCACTTTTTAAAAGACTTATTTATCTTTATTGGAAAGGCAGATTTCACAGAGGGAAGAAAGAAATATCTTGAATCCACTGGTTTACTGCCCAAGTGACCACAACAGCTAGACCTGAGCCAATCCAAAACTAGGAGCCAGGAGCCTCTTTCGGGTTTCCCACATGGAAACTTTTCCCACCTTGGGCCTACTTTCCCAGACCACATGCTGGGAGCTGGATGGGAAATGGAATTGCTGGGACATGAATCAGTGCCCATATGGGATCCTAGCTCTTGCAAGGTGAGGATTTTAGTCACTGAGCCATCGTACCAGGCCCTTTTTCTTTTCTTTTTTTTTTTTTTTGGTAAGTCTATAACAAGATGACAAAAGTGTCCCAGGCACTTCTAGGTCTATGATAGAAAGCTTCTTTATTCCTTGCTTCTGCCACCTGCCAGCCCTAGGACTTTGGCAGGTCTCTCTGCCTCTGCAAGCCTCAGTTGTTGCCCTACCTATTAAATGGACCTCACTGGAGCTGGGTGGGTCAGGCCAAGTGCAGTGTGTCAATCCCCTGGCATATGTCCAGATGCTCTGTGTGTCCTGTCGGTGGGAGTTACCCTCCTAGAAGTCAGGGGCTGGGAAACAGCTTTGTAGGGAGGCAGCCAGGAGGTGGGTACCTAACTCCTGGTTGGAGTAGCATCTGAGTTTTCTGACCCATGAGAAAGGATTGGGTTTGGGGGCCTGAGGGAGGGATTGTGGGAGGAGCCCCCATGCCCAGGGAACGGCTCAGGGCACAGCAGCTGAGCTGCAGCTGGGCCTGTGGCCTGGGAGGTTGTGTTGCGGCTGCCTGCTCCTCACCCAGCTCCCACATTTCAGCTCTGCAGCTGGGGCCTGTCTCCTTGCAGGTGGGCCATGGCTGGGCCATGGTTGCTGCTTCTCCTGGCCCTTGGGTGTCCAGCTCTGCCCACAGGTGAGCACCCTCTTTGCCTCTGCTTAAGCCCTTGCCCCTCGCTCTGGCCCCCTGGATGTGCATGCCATGCATGTAGGCTTAGAGCCCCCTGAGTGGGCGGGGCCTCACCAGAAGCACCCTTGGCCCTATGTTCCATACTCCACTTCCAGACCACGGGCTTCAACCCCTCAGGCTGTGGTCCACAGCACTGGGAGGGAGGGCTGTCCCTCTAACAGTATTAGGAAGAAAGAGCAACCTGTCTGGGCATCCATAGATGATAGGGGCTAGGGCAGCCGGGGCTGTGGTACATGGCATGAAGGGAAGGAGCATGGGCTGTGAGCTCCCGTCCTGTTCATCCTGTCCTTCCTGTCCCCAGAGCTCTATTCCGGCAGGATTCAGGGGGCCTGAATGCCACTTCCAGCTCCCCTCATCAGTGGGCTCCCTTCCCATTTCCTGGTGTGAATTTGTTTGTGAGGGAATTTAAAGTCATGTATTTACTTCAAAGGCAGAGTGCCTACAACAACCAAGGCTGGATCAGGTTGAAGCCAGGAGCCACGAACTCCAGGCTGGCTCTCCCACATGGGTGGCAGGGTCAACAAATGGAAGTGTGGACAAACATAGGTGGGATGTAGAAAAAAAAAAAAAGAAGAAGAGGGCTTGCGGTGTCAGGGCATAGTAGATTAAGCCTTTTCCTGTAGTGCCAGCGTCTCATATGGGCACTGATTCATGTCCCAGCTCCACTTCCTATCCAACTCTCTGCTTATGGCCTGAGAAAGCAGCAGAGGATGGCCCAAGTCCTTGGGACCCTGTACCGCATGGGAGACCTAGATGAGACTCCTAGCTCCTGGCTTCAGAATCACCCAGCTCCAGCATTGGTGGCCATTTTGAGAGTGTAACTGGCAGATGAAAGATCTTTTTCTCTGTTTCTCCTCTCTCCTTAACCCTGACTTTCAAGTAAAAATAGAAGATGAATACATGTACAGAGAATGGAGAAATGAAGGGTAGGAGTGGCGACAGATGTGTGGGTATGACAGGTGGCTGGAGTGTGATGGTAGAGAGATGCATGGAAAGATATAAACACACAACCCTCGTCTGGAGGGAAATGGCTACGTCGGTCCAGCACCTATCGTCCATCTGTGCTATCTCACAGGTGTGGGCCATGTGCCCTTCCCATCACTGGCCCCGCCCATCACGCTGCTGGTGGATGGGAAGCAGCAGACGCTGGTGGTCTGCCTGGTCCTGGATGCCGCACCCCCTGACATCGCCAGCCCCATCTGGTTCTCAGCGGGCAATGGCAGTGCCCTGGATGCCTTCACCTACGGCCCGTCCCTCGCCACAGATGGCACCTGGACTAGTGTAGCCCAGATTTCCCTGGCCTCAGAGGAGCTGGCAGCCTGGGAACCCTTGGTCTGCCACACGGGGCCTGGGGCTGGGGGCCACAGCCGGAGCACACCACCCCTACAGCTGTCAGGTAGGCCTGGGAAGGGATGGGGTTCTCATGGGTGCTCCCTGTCCCTTTCCACCTAGGACATGGTGGGAGAAGTGAAAGGCCACCCAGCCATGAAGGATGTTCAAGTGCATGCCATCTGGGTCAAGGCAATGCTTGGACCCAGGGCAGGACAGCCTCAGCCTCCAAAATATCAAATTCAACACCAGGTCCTGTGGCATGCCTCCTCCCTCCTAGGGCTGGTACATACACATGCACTCACACACAACACCCTGTATCTATATCACCCTACAAAGACCAAATCACAATTCAATAATAACATGCTATGACTCCCTAAGTATTTAACCTCTGCCAGGCGCTATGTGACACTTCTAGTTATTGCCTTATGGAGCAGCTACTGAGATGTTCAGTCATGTGTCAAAGTTGGCCAGTGCTATCAGGACCAGATGACGTACTTCCTCTTTCTGGGTCCCCTCTGTCTTCCCATCTTCTCAAATAACATGCTTAGTGACCGAATGTCCTGCCCTCCAATGAGTGTCTGTTCTTGCAGAGAAGTATTGGCTGACACAGCCTCAACCCCTCCCACTCCAAATTGGGGCTTCAGATCAGGGCACAGCAGAGAGAGTGAGGGGCTCTGGACCCCCTCAGAGGACCTGTAGGAAGCAAGCTCATTTGTTATCTGCTGGCTCATTTGTCATCCTGGTAGCACTTCCTATGGTCCCAGAGGGTGGGGGAAGCACTGGGACTTGGGGGTTTGGGATGCAGCAGGCAAGCCTTGTCTACCGCAAGGACTTAGTCCCTTCTTGCCTGGCAGGTGAAGCTGCCCGGACCAGGAGCTGCCTTCAGGAGCCTCTTAGAGGTAAGTACTCCAAGGAGTGGGCTGGGCTGGGAAGAAAGGCTGGGAATGTGAACTGGGGCCCAGAGTGAAGGACACTCAGGTGTGACCCAGAGAAGGCTGCCTGGCCAGGCTGCAACACCATGTGCCATACCCACTCTCATAAGATGAGGCTGATTCTCTGACCAATGCACAGGTGGCAGCTAACATTGAGGTCCTTGTACTGCTCCTTGGGGAGCCCCTGGCTGGTGGTCTACATATCTGAGAGCCTGAAAGGAGGGGTGGGGTACCCCACGGGCAGCCACAGAGTCCACCACTTCCCACACCCACCCCTTATGCCCTATTCCTGGGAGAGCTTTCTGGGCTCCTGAGACACTCAATTTGTTCTCAGGGACGGCTGAGCAGGCCTTGTGGCTGGGGGCACTGCGCCTGCTGCTCTTCAAACTGCTGTTGCTGGATACACTCTTGACGTGCGGCCGCTGGGTGCCCCGCTAGCCCCCCACTCACTCCTCCTGCAGGTGCCACCCGGGCACCCAGCCCCAGGATGCCAGCTGGAGTCACCCACGGCTGCAGGAAGGCACGTTCCCAGCCAACATAGCCTGGGTCTGACGCTTGAGATCTGCCTGTATGGTCCCGCCCCAAAACCTCCACCCTCAAACTCACAGTCTCTTCCATCACCCAATGCCCCTTCCAGGATGTTGATGTACTCCAGACCCTGGGGCATCTCACAGGCAGATAGCTGAGCCTGAATAAATAAGAACTTAAGTGACTGCAAGACAATGAGGAACATTTAAACTCATTTCTGTCTTGGGAAGAAGAAATTGGGCAGATTTCAACAAAGCAGAAATCTGGAAAGGCTCCCTGGAGGAAGAGCTATTGCCAGAGTGAAGAACTGGGAGGTGCAACCTTGAGCTGGAGGTTAGGGGAATGCTGTCCCACCTCCCTCCTTTTCCCTGCCTGCACAGCCTGGCACTCACTGGACAAGGCCCAAGATCTGGGAGAAGACAGGGCAGGGAGCCCAGGAACCTGGAGGAAGGGCACTGGGCCTAGGGAGAAGTCTTGTAGAGACTCGACATAAGTGAATGGGGCCAGCACTCCTGGGGGAAACAGGATCGTGTCCAATGCTAAGAGCACCAGTGATAAATTCCAGACTTCCATGGTATTAATTAAGGCTCATTATTCATTGTACAACTATTCATTGAGCATCAGCAACATGCCAGGTAGTAAAAAGCTCTGCCGTTTGGTGTTCTGTCTGTGCTCCTATGGAGAAGTCTCACACTGATGGAACAGGGGCTTCCACACATGTGGACAGAAGCCTGGGATACCAGCCATTTGCCCAGTGCCAACAGAAGTTCAGTTTTGCCCAAGGGGTCTTCTCAAGCCATCGCCTCAAGAAAGCTCGGGGTCCTCTGCTGTGGGTACAGGTGTGCCCTTGATTCCACAGGGACACACTGGGCCAGTGGCACCACTTAGCTCTCTTTCCTCCAGGGGCTGAGTATCCTTGCCTCAACACACCTCTGCAATGGCTCAGCTTGTGGCCCCACAAAGATTGTGTCCTCAACTTATCTCTTCTTCAGCCTGGGGGGCAATCCTCCGACCTCTTTTTTTGGGCGGATTCCCACACTTTAGGCACACTCACTGCTTCCACGGCTCTCTCCATCTGACCCCAGTATCCCTCACCCCGTCCTGCCCATGCTTCTCAATCTTCACCGTGACTTACTTAATGTTTCCCAGGAGGACCCTGGGCCGAGGCACACTGAGGACTAGGAGCTTCTTTAGTTCTGTGGGACCTAGAGGACACCCCAAGGACGCGGAGGGATGTCAGGGAGTGGTGACCCTGCACTCTGCGTGCTCCCACACACCACAGTCCCTGCCGAGCCACACTACCTTACTACCTTATGCTGTCTGGAGGAGGCACCTGGGGTCAGAAAATGATGAGCCAAAGATCTGTGTCTTCATAAAGGCACACAAACACCACCTAACAGGGCTTTATGGCCAAAAACGCAATTTACAGTGGGCCTCCGGAGGCGGGCTCTGAGTGGGACGCGGGGACCTTCGATCTGGTCCCGGCGTCCACGGGGTGGTGGGCAGCAAGCCCACTGCTGGCGGGTACCGGGGCGGGAGGGTGCGGGTGCTGCTGCTGCCCCTGCCGTCGCTGCCGATACCAGCACGTTCCGCAGAGTCCATGCTCAAGGACGTCCGGTGCCTGCATGCTGCCTTCTCTGCTGAACCAGACTGGGAGCAAATCCATCAGCCTCGGAACCTCCTCCTGGCCCTGGTTGGGGAAGTTGGGGAGCTGGCAGAGCTCTTTCAGTGGAAGCCGATGAGGAACCTGGCCCCCAAACATGGCCCACCCATGACCTGGCAGCCCTGGAAGAGGAACTCAGTGACATCCTCATCTACCTGGTGGCCCTGGTAGCCCGCTGTCGCATGGATTTTCCCCCACGCAGTGCTCTCCAAAATAGGCACCAACCGGCGACGCTATCCAGTCCATCTGTCCCACGGTTCTGCCTGGAAATATACAGATTTGGGCCAAGAGGCCCCCTCTGAAGACCAGGCCCTGGTCCAGCAACACGGGCTGGGAACGGTCCACACTCAGCCTGGCCATGGAGCTCAAGCTTCTAGATCTTTCTTCTCAGAACCTCGCTCTGAGATCTGCTGTCCACAAGCTTTCCAGCAGGTGGCTTCTTGGTGTTCTCTCTCCCAATAGAAGTACTGGGTAACAGCAACAAGAACAACAATAACCACCACCACAATTTGCAGACAAACTCAAGAAGCAGCCTTGGTCTGTATGTGTCTGTGTAAAGTAGACCAGAGATCCAGAGTCCCTCTTTTCATTGATTTATTTGAAAGACAGAGTTACAGAGAGAGCTATTGTCCACCTGCTGGTTCACTCTCCAAATGAATGCAACAGCAAGGGCTAGAATGATTCAAAGCCAGAAGCCAGGATTTTCTTCTGGGTCTCTCACGAGGATGCAGGGTCCCAAGGCTGCAGGCCATCCTCCACTGTTTTCCCAGGCCACAAGCAGGGAACTGGATGGAGAATGGAGCAGCAAGGACCTGTGTTGGTGCTCATGTGGGATGCTGGTGCCACAAGGTGGAGGATTAGCCTGCAGAGCCACAGTGCCAGCCCAACAGTAGATGGGAGTTTCACTGGGTGCTGTTGCTGGGCACGGAGGGGGGACTACAACTGCTCTTAGCTTCACTCTCGCTTTATTGAGCCCAAGTACCACTGAAATAGATCTGAGGGCAGTTAGAAGGGACTGAGATTGCATACTAAAAAGCAAAAGAGTGCCTGAACATTTCACAATCTGCCCCAATTAGCTTTCATTTAACCTTTCTAACCTTCCTGAACAGGAAAATCTGCCACAGCAATCAGGAAGTTCTTTGTAATCACACAAATGGAAACTCAATGGGGACAGCATTGGGAGTGGGGTTTGAGCTGAAGTCCCTGCTTAGGACAACCACAGCCTAGGTCCCAGCCCCCACCCCACAACTAGGCTTCCAGCCTGGAAGGCAGCAGACAATGGTTCAAGTGCTTGGGTCCTTGCTGAAAGACCGAGACGGAGTTACTCCCAGCTTAGGCCTGGCCTGTTGTAGGCATCTGCTGTTGCCCTTCCTCTTTCAAAAAAAGAAATAAAAGAAATAAAAATAGAAACCGAGAGAGGAAATAGTTCGTTTCAGTTCTCCCTCAGACAAACGCAGGGTCCCCGGAGACACTAGGCCCTTGAAGGCTTGGGGATGGAGTCGTCGGGCTGTCAACCCCAGGGGTCTGACGGGAGTGACAACATCTATTAAACATAAAAACAGGTGCTCCATCAGGGCTGGCGGCCTGACGACCCCAGGAGGGAAGTGACATCCGAGGAGGTGAGAAAGCGGCGGGGGTGGCAGTCCAAGCCTACGCCAGGACCAGCGTGTCCAGCCCTGGGCTTCTCTCCCAGCACCGCGATGTGAGAAGATGCTGCTATAGGTCGCGGAGGCCACCCTCCACTGCCTTATTGGCCGAGCTCGAAAAAAAACCCCTGTGCTTGCATTCGCTAGTGGCCGAGGCGCGAGGACGCCCATTGGCTGCGTGGTCCGCGGGCCCGGTCCGCCGGGAGGCCGGGGGCTCGCTGTTGCCGTGGTTACGCGGAGGCACGTGGGCAGCGGTCCCGGAAGCGGCTCGCGGGAAGCGCTGCTGGCGCGCGCGCGCCGCAAGAGGAAGCGCCCGGCGGTCCGCTGCGGGTCGGGTCCGGCCGGACCATGGAGTCGTTGCCTGAACCCGCCGCGGCCCGCTGGCTTCTGCCTCTGCCCTTGCTCTTGCTGCTGCTGCTGGTGCTGCCGCCGAGCCCAGAGCTGAGGCCGAGCCACGCCAGGGCCGAGGAGTCGGACTGGGTCCGCCTGCCCAGCAAATGCGAAGGTGAGGGGGCGGGGCCCGCGGGGCGTTTCCTGCCCGGAGGGGTGGGCGCGAGGGGCGGGGTCGCGGGATGGAAGGTTCCCGGGGCTCCGGGTTCGTAGAACCTTCCTCGGTGCGCGTGGCTTGACGCCTGTGCTGGGCGCCGGCGGGTGCGGGGTGGCCAGAGGGAACGCGGGAGAGCAGAGGCCGTGTGGTGGAGGTTGGCGGCCCACCAGGCAGGGGGTGACAGGTGCGGGAGGGCTGTGTGGAGAGAGGGGAGGCAGGTGCAGAAAGAGGGGCCTCGCGCGGAGGAAACCGCAGGGACCCAGGCCTGCAAGGCCCAGAAACGGAAGACAGGTTGGGGAACCGAAAGGGTCCCTAGGACTGGCGTGGGGGAGGGAGGAGAGGAGGGTCTGGGATGCCCCCTCCCCCGCGTGCCCAACCTGCACCTGCAGCCTCCTCCGTGGAGTTGCCGCCCCTTCCCCCAACAGCTGCTTCACGATGGGACTTTTGCCCAAGTATTTATTCACCCCATAGCTGGTAAGGGCCGCTGTAAAAATGTGTTTATCGTGAGTGTGATCAGATGGTCAATAGGAAGCCAACGTGTGAGGCTTCAGAGGCCGCGTTACGATAAGTGTGTTGGGGCGGAGGGTTGGCAGGGCTTAGGGCCCGAGGAAGATTTTAGGGATATAGGGAAGAGAGAGTCCGCCCCCCCCTTCCTCCCTCCCCTCTGCCCCACAGACACCAGGGGCTTCTGAGGAAGACAAGGGGGCTTCTCAGTGTTGGGCGCTGTGAGGGGGCCGACCTCGGCTCCTTCCGTACTTTTTCAGCTCTCTTCTCAGAGGTCTAAAGCTACCCCTCCCCCAAGAAGTTGGCTCCCCTGGAATTCAGAGCCAACAAATCCCTCGGTGCTGAAATGTGGGGGACAGGCCTGGGCCACCTAATCCTTCCATTTGAGAGATTAAAGAGGCTGCAGAGTTAAGCTGGCCCTGCTGGCAGGGACCCCTTAGGGCTTCCCGCCTGCCTCTGGACTGGCAGCAGGAGGGAAAGTAGGCTGCTTTGCTTTCTCCTTGCTTCCAGTTCTCGATGGCCCTTTGAGGGTTTCGCTTCCTCTTCACTGGGTTTTCTCTTTGTGATTCCCAAAGAGCCCCTGCTCTTTTGTGCTTGAGCGTCCCTAGCCTCAGAAGCTCTCTTTGGTTTTCCGCAGGCGGCCTTCCCAGACTTCATAGCACAGCGGAGATGGTGGGATCTTAGGAATTGTTCCATCACAGGCTGGCTTAATAAGCTCTGACCCTCAGGCCTCTCCTAACGCTGTGTTTGCTGCTGTTACAACTTGTCAAAATGCAGAGTCTGTTCCCTGGCTCTGGAGTCTGCGCTAGGCAGGCCTCTGCACCCAGAAAGCAGCACCTGCCCAGAGGAAGAGTGGGTAGGCGGTGGTGAGGCCTGGTGTCTGTGAGTCTCCTCCCAGTCTGATTCTGGGTAGGATCCCAGGGTGGAAGGTTCTGACTAATGTGCCTGAGAGGAAATGCTTTAGATGCCCACCTTCCCCACGGCTGGAATACTGTTACATGGTGAGGGCGTGGGAGGCAGAGGGAGCCAGAAAAACGGCGAGTTTGTGCAGGACGGCAGAGGGGAGGGAGCCCGGGTGACCCTGGCCGGAGTGCCGGGCAGTGTGTGTCCATTGCGTGCTCTGAGAGTGTGTGGGTGTGTTCCACAACAGTCAGTGTGTATGTTGCAGCATTTCACCAAGCAAGCCCCTAAGACACGTGTTCTTTTATTGTTGTTTGCAGTAAATGAGTGTTTGACCGAACTCTGTTGGCAGCAGTGCTGACGACAGCAGGTCAGAGTCCGTTCAGCCACACACAATCTCTGTCCACAATATTTACCCAGCACCCACCACATACAGGGGCCATCAGGAAGTTCATGGGGGTGGAGGCTTTGCAGCACTGCTTGGGTCACCAGCATTCTGTATTGGAGTGCCCAAAATTCAGTCCCATCTACCCTGCTTCCAATCTACCTTCCTACTAATGGGTACTCCAGGAAGCAGCTCAAGTACTTGGGACCCCCAATCATGTGAGAGGACCAGATGGAGTTCCTTTTGTATCCCAGCCTCATACTGGTCCAGCAGGCAATAGATATGAACCAGCAAATGAAAGAATAATATCTTGTGTCATGCTATTCTGTCTTTTCAATAAAGGAACTTTTTAGTGCCTGGCACAGTAGCCTAGTGTCAAGTCCTTGCCTTGAACGCACCGGGATCCCATATGGGTGCCAGTTCATTTCCTCGCTGTTCTACTTCCCATCTGGCTTCCTGCTTGTAGCCTGGGAAAGCAGTCAAGGATGGCTCAATGCCTTGGAACCCTGCACCTGCCTGGGAGACCTGGAAGAAGTTCCTCGCGCGTGGCTTCAGATCAGCTCAGCTCTGGCTGTTGTGGCTTCTTGGGGAGTGAACCAATGGACAGAAGATTTTTCTCTCTGTATCTCCTTTCCATAAATCTGCCTCTGCAATTAAAATAAATAATCCTTTTAAATAAACTTTTAAAAAAAGGCTTTGGGCAGTGCATATTCTAAAAAAAATTTTGGATTTTAAAATTTTTACACCAAGATGAGCTTATCTTTTAATTCCTTTTTACTACTTACCTTTTTTTTTTTTAAGATTTACTTATTTTTATTGGAAAGATTTAGAGAGACAGAGATAACAGAGAGGAAGGTATGTTTGCTGGTTCATTTCCAAGTTGCCGTAACGGCCAGAACTGAGCTGATCTGAAGCCAGGAGTTTCTTCTGGCCTTCACGCAGGTGCAGGGTCCCAAGGCTTTAGGCCATCCTCAACTGCTTTCCCAGGCCACAAACAGGGAGCTGGATGGATGCGAAGTAGAACAGCAGGAACATGAACTGGCACCCACCTAGGATCCAGGTGCGTGCAAGGCGAGGATTTAACGACTTGGTCATCATGGTGGGATCATTACTGGTTAGTTAAAAAAAAAAAATTACAGGTCTGGCACAATAGCATAGCAGCTAAAGTCCTCACCTTGAACATGCTGGGATCCCATGTGGGTGCCAGTTCTAATCCCGGCAGCCTCACTTCCCATCCAGCTCCCTGCTTGTGGCCTGGGAAAGCAATCAAAGTTGGCCCAAAGTCTTGGAACCCTGCACCCACGTGGGAGACCTGGAGGAGCTTTCTGGCTCCTGGCTTTGGATCAGGACAGCACCGCCGTTGCGGTCACTTGGGGAGTGAATCATTGGATGGAAGATCTTCTTTGCTGTCTCTCCTATTCTCTGTATAACTGCCTTTCCAATAAAAATAAATAAATCTTTAAAAAATTTAAAAAAAATACTGTTTAGGGTTGACATAGTGGATGAAGCAGTTGCCTGTGATGCCAGCGTCTCATATGGGCACCAGTTCATCTTCTGGCTGCTCCATTTCCAATCTACCTCTTTGTTAAAAGCCTGGAAAAGGCAGCAAAAGGTTTCCAGGTATTTGGTCCCTGCTATCCATGTGGGAAACCCAGATGAAGCTACTGGCTTTGACCTGGCCCAGCCCTGGTCATTGTGGCCATCTGAGGTATATACCTACTGATAGAAGAATCCCTACCCATCCTGCCACCTGTACTTTAAGTTCTCTGACTTGGCAAATAAATACACTGAACTTTTTGTTTTTTTCTGATATCCCACAAATATACTAAACCTTTTCCCCGCAAAAAAAAGATGCTATTAGAGAGTTGGACAGAAAGAACTCCTACCTATGGAACTTCCCAAGGATCTCTTTTTTTTTTTTTTTTTTTTTTATTTTTTTTCATTGGAAAGGCGGAGAGACAGAGAGGAAGATCTTCCATCCGATGATTCACTCCCCAAGTGAGCGCAACGGCCGATACTATGCCGATCCGAAGCCAGGAGCCTCTTCCGGGTCTCCCACGCGGGTGCAGGGTCCCAAAGCTTTGGGGCCATCCTCGACTGCTTTCTGGGGCCACAGGCAGGGAGCTGGATGGGAAGCGGGCTGCCGGGATTAGAACCGGCGCCCATATGGGATCCCGGGCGTGCTAGGCGAGGACCTTAACCACTTGCACCACCGCGCCGGGCCCTCCCCAAGGATCTCAAGCTGGGTCTCCCACACGGTTGGCAGGGACTCAAGTACTTGAGCTGTCACTTGTTGCCTCCCAGGGGCTGCATGGGTGGCAAGCTAGGCTAAGCTGGTAGGAATCCAACTCAGGTTCTCTGCAGCTGTCTGGGTGCTTCACCTGTGCCACTTTGTGAAGTAGCCAGGTAATCTTGGATTGGAGAATCAATCCAAGTCCAGTGTGTGCTGCCATTTTGACGGCTCTTGCTCAGGTCAGGAAGACTAGAAATAGGTGAAGGACTTTGGAAGGCATGGCTCCTGCAGAGGCCCTCATGCCCTCCCAAGCTAGCTGCCAGCCAGAGCAGACCTTGGAAAGAGCTGTGATGGTGCTTGTGCCAGATGTGCCACCTGCAGGAGAGACCTGATTAAGTTCTTACATCCTAACTTTGACTGAGCCCAGTCCAGTTTTGGCCATTGTGAGCTTCTGGGCACTGAACACAAGGATGTGAGTTTGCTCTGTCTCTCTGCCACTCAGAATACAGCAGGGGAAATTAACCCAGGACACTATCCTGTGGAGGTGTTTTTTATTTTTAATATTTCTTTATTTGAAAAGCAGAGTTAAAGAGAGAGCAAGAGCTTCCATCTATTGGTTCATTCCCAAAAATGACTGTCGGGGGTTGGGACTGGGCCAGGCAGAAATAAGGAACATGGAACTGGGTCTCCCATGTGGGTGGCAGTGTTCCAAGTGCTTGGGCATCTTCCACTTTTTTCCCAGATACGTTGGCAGCCAGAAGCTGGATTGAAAACAGCAGCTGGACTTCAGCTGGCACTCTCTTGGGATGCCTGTGTCGCAGGCAGTGGCTTAACATGCTGTACCACAGTGCCAGCCCTGGGAGGAGGCTTTTAATGTGAGGTTGGGAGAAGGGACAGAGACACCCCCAGAAGTGTTAGCCACTTTCCTAGGGCCACGGGCACTTCATTTTTGCTGTGATAGTTGTGTGTTTGCCACTCTCTCTGCATCTGCAAGAACAAGCCCTTGTTTCATTTTTGTTTTCCCAGGCAGTGCTCTTGGTTCAAGAGTTGCCTCAGAGCTAAGGAAGGGAGGAGGAAAAGATGAGTGTGTGTGGGAACAGTAAAGCCAGGAGCAGGTACAGCAGACCGAGTTGGTAGGGATAGTGAGCAGGGGTTGGAACACACTTGAAATTAAGTGACAAAACAAGCATAAAAGCCACATCAGGACAGTGAGGGAAATTTAGATATGGCCTATTGGATGCTGTTGGGGTTATTGTTTAATTCTTCAGTGTGGAATTCTGGTTATTAGAAAGTCCATGTTCTCAGGTAATGACATGTTTAGGGGTGGAAGGTTAGAGTTACAACTTAACTTACTTTCAAAATAATGTAGCAAAAACAATATATATTTTTGAGATCTACTACTGTATTTTTGGCATTGTGTGATATATATTGGAGAAAGATTATAGAAAGTCATTGACAATTGTTAAATACAAGTAGAGAGTATATAGTTAATTCTTTGTACTCTTTCAGCTTTTCTGAATGTGTGAAATTTTTTAAAGTTCTTTTTTTGTTTGAAAGGCAGAGAGCTAGAGAGATCTTCCAGCTCTTGGTTCGTTGCTTAGATGCCTGTCACAAGGCTGGGCCAAGCTGAAGCCAGGAGCTTCCTCCCATATGGGTGGCAGGGTCCAAGGACTTAAGCCATCCTCCACTGCTTTCCCAAGCCATCAACAGGAAGCTGGGTCAGAAGTGGAGCAGCAGGATTAAGATGGCACCCATGTGGGATGCTAATGCTGCAGGTGGAAGATTAGTCTGCTGCATCATGGCACTGTTCCCACATCTCACATGAGATTGTTAGAAGTAAAATGAGGAGGTGAGCAGCAGCCAAAAGAAACCTGTGGAATGAGGCCAGAGTTGGAGGTGGGGCCCAGGGCCCTGGAGCCAGTTTCCTGTAATGAATGGCTTTTGTTAATCTGGTCCGCAGCCCCTCCCTACCCTTGAGTCCCGCCTGAGAGGGTGTCCACTTGTGGGTGGGCTCGCATGCACCCAGCAGCCTCTGCTGCTCTCCCTCTTCCAGTGTGTAAATATGTCGCCGTGGAGCTGAAGTCAGCCTTTGAGGAGACCGGCAAGACCAAGGAGGTCATTGACACTGGCTACGGCATCCTGGACCGCAAGGCTTCCGGCGTCAAGTACACCAAGTCGTAAGTGAACAGGTCCCCTGGAGGCTCGGGCAGTGTGGAATGCCCACCTCCCAGCCACCCAGACAGGCTCACCACAGGGAATCGCCTGTAGCCAAGACCCGCAACCCACATTTGCCCTGGTTTACCTTCTTCTTCTGCGCGCTACTGTTGCGTGATCTCTCTGAATCCTGAATCCTGCATCCTGCGGGGCCCATCACCGCCCTCCCCAGGCTCAGGGAGGCGGTGGGCTGGGGCTGTTCTGTGAAGTAGTGGTAACAACCTTACCAGCGTCTCCTTTACTTGGGCATACCTATTAAAAAGAAAGGCAAAAGAACTTTCGTCCTTCCAAAATGAAATTCTCTTTGATCATCAAATCTTAACACATTTTACTTTATTTAAAAAAAAAAAAAACCCTCTTAGTACTGAATCATTTAGCTTTATAAACAGTCTTTCCCTTAGAATTATCACAGTGTTGTCTCTCTGGTCTGTGTTCCAGCATTTCAGAGCCCCCAGACCAGATGACCTATCCTCCTGCCAGCTCTGACTCCCCGCTGGTGAGCTGTGCACTTGTTGGGCGGCAGGGCTGGAGGGACCACTGCTAAATCCCCACGCCACCCCGCACCCCACGCCAGGCTGGGAGAAGGGCGCTCAGTTCCTCTGGTGCTGCTGTCTCGGCAGGGACTTACGGTTAATCGAAGTCACGGAGACCATTTGCAAGAGGCTCCTGGACTATAGCCTGCACAAGGAGAGGAGTGGCAGCAACCGGTTTGCCAAGGTTGGGTTTGTGCTTGCCCCTCAGCCCCTCCAGGCCAGCCTGCATGGGTGTGTGTGTTTGTGTGTGTGTGTGTTTACACACTGCATATGAATGTGATGCAGGAGATTGTGCTCCTCAAGCCACCCTCCTCGCCACTTCCCATTCTTGGTTGGCCACTGGTACCACGTGGCCCCGCTTTTCCAGGGCGCTTGGCAGCTTTTGGACACTGGAAGGGGGGAGGTCTGGACTTGCCCATTAGGCTCCCACCTCTGTTCCAGGAGTCCCTGGCAGAAATGCTCCCAGCTCCCTGTGGGAATCTGAGATATTAGAGCCAAGAGAACTGTGCCAGGTCCAGACTATGCAGAACAGGGAGCTGTAGGGTGGATGTCAGTAGGCTATGACTGTCCCCCAGTATCCCCACTTCCATGCCTGCACCGCCCCTCCCAGAGCCCGAGCAGGAAGCCTTTGTGCCTGCTCTCCCTGGAGAGCCAGCTGCCGATGGCCGGTCCCATCTTTCCTTGTCTTTACATAATGTCTTCGTTGTCCAGTGCCTGGGAAAATAGTTGCCGCCCACCTTTTTCCGCCCAAGTTCCCTCCTAGCACAGGAGATTGGTTGCAAATGTAAGGATGTTATCTCAGGCACCACAAGTCATAGATTCATCTTTACAGTCTGTGAATTTGTACACTCTGGTGGTAAGTCCATGTCCACTATGATGAGAAGTATGTGAAATTGTTTTCCATAGCAGGACCCTGACAAGCAGTCTGACTCTGCATTCAGAGGGCCTTGGGTGGATGGGAGTCTGGCCTTGGGTGGGCTGCAAACGCAGTGGTCAGGCAGGGGCAGCTGTTCTTCATGAACCACACTGAACCTATTTCCATGGTTGAGTTGCATCAGAAAGTGGTGAGGGCAAGGTGCCAGACGGCGGGAGTGGTGCATACCTGCTTCCCCTCCATGGGAACAGGGCTGCCGGTGGATGTGTCATCACATCTGTGTGGATCCCCTCTGGTTAGAGAGAAATGCAAAGGGTGTTGTCTCAGGTGGGACACAGGTAGTTGGCAGCAGTTGTTTTTATAGACTCCAGTGGCCTTCCTGCCTGGGAGGTGCTCCTTCCTACCAGACCAACACAAATCAAGGAGGGCTGGAGAGGAGGGTTGGGCCTGGCTAGAGGGGCGTGAGTGCCCAGACGCAGTGAAGGAAAGGAGCCAGGACCAGCTTCTCTCCTGGAGACAGTGTCCCCTGGGGCCTGCGGGCAGCAGCAAGCAGTCCTTGTGAAGGGGTGAGGTGTGGGGCAGGCACGTAAGGGTGTGCATGTGTGCAGGGGTGGTGTGACACTGGCCCCTGAGCGAAGGGACAGGAGCTCTTAAGGGGCCTGACCTCTGAGAGCCAGGTCTGCAGATAACCTTGGGCAAGGGTGGGAGGGCAGGACATAGAGGAGGTGGTCCCACGTGCCAAGTCTGCTTACCTCTTTCAGGGCATGTCCGAGACCTTTGAGACACTGCACAACCTCGTGCACAAAGGGGTCAAGGTGGTGATGGACATCCCCTATGAGCTGTGGAACGAGACCTCCGCAGAGGTGGCCGACCTCAAGAAGCAGGTACAGCCCCTTTAGCCCTCAGGGGCCGCTTGCGGTGCACAGAGGGGCTGCTGGGGCTGGGTCTGCATCGAAAGAGCCTCCTCCCCACCTCCAGAATGGAGGGCCCTCAGCCAATCCCTTGGCCCCTCTTTGGCTTCTGGTTCCAGAAGCGAGGGCTGCCACCTGCGTGTCAGGCAGCGGAGGGTAGGGCTCTGCTGAGCTGATGAAGTGCTGTACTTGACAGTGTGACGTACTGGTGGAGGAGTTCGAGGAGGTGATCGAGGACTGGTACAGGAACCACCAGGAGGAGGACCTGACTGAATTCCTCTGCGCCAACCACGTGCTCAAGGGCAAGGACACCAGTGAGTGGGGAGGCGGAGGCGGGGCAGGTGGGCTGCGGGGATTTAGCCTGTGCTCTGCACCCCTCTACCTCCAGGGGTGAAGAAAACCACACAGACCCCAAGACACAATAAACACAAGTCAGGTGCCCCCAGTGGGAGCAGGCAGCTACAGGCTCCCCAGCAGGCACTGCCACTGCCCTCCAGCACCTAGACCCATGCACCTAAGCTAAGGGTGTGGCTTGTCCCTTAGGTTGCCTGGCAGAGCAGTGGTCCGGCAAGAAGGGAGATACGGCTGCCCTGGGAGGGAAGAAGACCAAGAAGAAGACCAGCAGGGCCAAAGCCACGGGCAGTAGGAGCAGCAGCAGCCAGCAGAGGAAGGAGCTGGGAAGCCTTGAGGGAGACACCAGCCCAGAGGAGGAAGAGGGCATTCAGAAGGCTTCCCCGCTTCCACACAGTCCCCCGGATGAGCTCTAAGCCCAGCACGACAGCCCCTGTTCCAAGATCCAGGCCTTGACACTGGGACAGCCTGGGGTGTGGCTCTGGCCAGCAGGCAGACGGAGATGGCCCAGCTGCAGGCAGCGCCTGCTGAGCACGGACACGAATCCTGGCAAGAACCCGTAGCAGTGGTCAGCCAGGCCCACCTTCTCCCCGGCACCTAGCCTGTCCTTTTGCAGGCTTCGGGCAGGCGGTGCACTCTCAGGACCGTGAGGACTGTGCCCTTAGGAGCAGAATATCTGCCGGTTGCCAGGACTACAGCCCCCCCTCAGAATTCATGAGCAAGGCATGTCCCCCTGTGCTTCTTCCACTCCCTGCTACATCCCCAGAGGGAAGCAAAATTGCAACAGCCCAAGCTCCTCCACCCACCCCGCCTCTGGATGCCTTGCGTTCTGCCTGGCCTGTTCCTGAGGCTCAGAGTAAAAACCTTTTGGCCTTTGGCTTGCGTTGTCTAAGTCCTCTTCAGCCCTCAGGTCTGTGAGACCCCTGTGGCTCTGCCATTCCCCATCCTCCCAGCCCGGGCGAGGGGAATGGGAGTGAGGGGGCCAGGGTAGCCAGGCAGACATTGAACCTGCCAGCTGAAGACAGCAAGTGCAGGGGTGGCCCCAGGTGAGGTGTGGGCACAGGAGGCGGCTCTGCCATCTGTCCTCATTCTCCTTCAGTTCCCCACGCAGCTGCCTGCTCACACTACTCGCTGGTGTCCTGGGTCCCTGGCTGATCACCCCATTCCCTCTCCGCACTCCCCCAAGACCTTCCTCTCAATTGTGCAAAATGTTTACTGGTTACCTGACTGACCCCAGCCCTGTCCTCCCTCCCACTGGTCCTGCCTGTTGGTCTTTTTTTGTTTAGTTTTTAAGATTTATTTATTTTTACCGCAAAGCCAGATATACAGAGAGGAGGAGACTGAGAGGAAGATCTTCCATCCAATGATTCACTCCCTAAGTGACCGCAGCGGCCGGTGCTGTGCCAATCCAAAGCCAGGAGCCCGGGACTTCCTCCAGGTCTCCCACATGGGAACAGGGTTCCCAAGGCTTTGGGCCGTCCTCGACCTCCTTCCCAGGCCACAAGCAGGGAGCTGGATGGGAAGTGAGGCTGCCGGGATTAGAACCAGTGCCCATATGGGATCCCGGCGCGTCCAAGGTGAGGGCCTCAGCAGCTAGGCCACCACGCTGGGCCCTGCCTGTTGGTCTTGAACTTTGTTCCCTGATGACCGCACTTGATCTCTTTGTTCCCTGCTGGCTGTTGTGCCAGGGAAAGAACACACACACACACGTATGTCTCAGAATGTACGTCTCAGAATGACAGCTGGTCACACTGTGTTCCTCCTGAGAGGAGTGGGAAGGTTGCCTCAGCCTCTCCCAGGCTGTCCTGAGGGAGGGGTCAGGCTAGCAGGTGTGGACACTCACAGTGCTATCACTGCAGAGCACACGTGGGTGCTGTGGGAACCAGGCTCGTGGGATGTGGCTGAGGGCCTGCCAGTGAGTGGTGTAGCTCAGCTTTCCAGATGCCAAGTCCCCTATCCTGTAGCTGCCCTGTCCACCCATGGCTGCCAGGACTCCTCCCCCAACACCTGCCTCCAGCCCCGCAGTTCTTATTGAACCAGTTTGACTTATTGGCCTTAAGCCACACCACAACTGTCACGATGTTTAGAAGCAAGCTAGGAAGCAGCAGCGGCCACTCCACAGCCACGTTCTCACCTGGGCCGCTGGCAGCACCCCATCACCCCTGGCTGCTGAGGCCCAGGGGTCCAGGCTCCTCATGGGACGGAGGGGCCCAGCTTTTCTTCCCCTCCCCCAGCTAGGGGCATTTGGGGCAGGGAAGAGTGGAGCCAAGTGGCCAGTGTGATTTCCTCTGGCTGGTGAGGCTGAGAGCCACAGGAGGAGGGCATTTAAGTGGTCAGCCCGTCTCCCAGCTCCTGCTGATGTCCTTGGTAAAGAGAGAGGGGGCAATGAAATTTCAGGCTGAGACGGAATCCATCCTAGACTTCTGATCATAGCACAGAGGTCTGTGGATATGGCCTGGGAGCTGGAGTAGCCTGCCTTAGGCTGTCAGGCTGCTGTGATCCTTTTCCAAGTCCCCTAAAGTGTCTTCCTGTCCTGGTTCACCTCTGTGCCCTAACTTCATTGATTGATCTTAGAAGTGGGATGAGGCAAAGCTTCCCAGCATGTTGATTCAGCGGCTCAGTCGCAGCCGAGTCCCAGGCCTGTAAGCAAGCACACTGCGCTTTGCTCTCTGACCTCCAGTTGCTGCATGTCAGGTCCCCTCTCTGCCCCCGTTCCCACCCCCGAGCCAGGCTGCCCGCACACTTACTAGCTCTCCACCCAGCCCACCCCAGCAGGCAGCTTCTGGTCCCACAGACTATGCAAGACAAGAAGGCAGGATGTGGCTTTCCAGGTTCTTCTCTCCCTCTGGCGTTGGCATTTATCCAAGCCATTCTTAACTTGATAGTCTTCCTGCTTGCCCAGACCCCTTCCCATCTATAAGGTGAGGTAAGGAGCTTCTTCCAGGTCTCCCATGTGGATGCAGGTTACGAAGGCTTTGGACCGTCTTCTGCTTTCCCAGGGCACAAGCATGGAGCTGGAAGAGAAGTAGAGAAGCTGGGACATGAACCAGTGCCCATACGGGATCCCAGTGCTTGTGAGGGGAGGATTAGCCAGTTGGGCATCATGCCAGGCCCAGCCTGGAAGGCTTGTTGAACAGAGTTAGTGGGCCCACTCCGGACCTGCTGGGATGGAACGGAACCCAGGTGTCTGTGTGCTTAAGAAGCATCTCTCATTTGGAAAAATGAGGCCATCCAGAAGACCCTGCACAGAGAGAAACCCCTGGTGTTGTAAACAGAGAGAGGATGTGAGGGAAGCCACAGGAAGCAAAGGTTATGCCTTCAGGGACAGGACTGTCTGAACCCAGGACACCCTAGCTTGGAGAACCACAGGCCAGTTTGTTCCAGTTCAACAGCTGAAAACAACACAGACCCAGATGGCAAACCCAGAGATTGCTCAAAGGTAGCTATGCAAGGGCTCTGTGCACATTTTAAAGCTTCCAGAAGGCAAGTTCCTCACTTTCACTTACCCAGGTCGTGTGTCCATACATCTTTGTTCATGTTAGGGGAAGGTGCTCTGAGGTGAGCAGTTTGGCCATGTCTAGTATTGGAGTTCCTGGGTTTCATTCCTGGTTGACAGCACAAAGGATTAGCCTGTTGAGCCATGCACTGCTCAAGGATTAATTTTTTTTTTAAAGATTTGTTTATTTATTACAAAGTCAGATATACAGAGAGGAGGAGAGACAGAGAAAAAATCCTCCATCCGATGATTCACTCCCCAAGTGAGCGCAACTGCCGATACTATGCCAATCTGAAGCCGGGATCCAGGAACTTCCTCTGGGTATCCCACAAGGATGCAGGGTCCCAAGGCTTTGGGCCGTCCTCGACCTCCTTCCCAGACCACAAGCAGGGATCTGGATGGGAAGTGGAGCTTCCAGGATTAGAATCGGCGCCCATATGGGATCCCAGCGCGTTCAAGGTGAGGACTTTAGCCACTAGGCCACATCACTGGGGCCAAGGATTAATTTATAAAATATTTAGGACTGGGCCTAATGCTATAGCCTAGTGGCTCAAGTCCTCATGTTATATGCACTGGGATCCCATATGGTTCCAGTTTTAATCCCAGCGGCCCTGATTCCCATCCACCTCCCTGGTTGTGGCCTGAGGAAGCAGTCGAGGACGGCCCAAAGCCTTAGGACCATTTACCCATGTGGGAAATCTGGAAGAGTCTCCTGACTCCTGGCTTCAGATCAGATCAGCTCTAGCTGCTATGGCCATTTGAGGAGTGAATCATCAGATGGAAGATCTTCCTCTCTGTCTCTTTCTGTGTATCTGCCTTTCCAATCAAACAAATAAATCTTGAAAAAAAAAAAAAAAAAGAAGAAGAAGAAAAAAAAGAGAAGTCCAGAAACTTTGTGCAGATCTCAACTCTTCAAAAAAAAATCTCTGGGTTCCAGGCATCGTGGTGCAGTGGGTTCCCCCTCTGCTTGAGACACCTGCATCCCATAAACGAGCGCTTGGTTCAAGTCGCAGCTCCTTCTCACTCCCTGCCAAGTGTGCCAGGAGGCAGTGGGTGATGCTCCTGGGCGTAGGCTCCTGCCATCTACATGGGAGAGCCAAATGAGGTCCTGAGTTCCTGCTTCCACTGGGCCAAGCCACAGCTGGGGAGGTCATTTGAAGTGTCAATTAGAGATTCCAAGATCTCTCTGTTTCTCCTTTTCCCTACTTTCCAAGTAAACAAATATAAAAGGATGCCGGGGCTGGTGTGATAGCTTAGTATGCTAATCTGCCCACTGCATCAGCATCCCATATGGGCACCAGTTTGTGTCCCAGCTGCTCCGGTTCCCATCCAACTTTCTGCTTGTGGTCTGGGAAGGCAGCAGAGGACGGCCCAAAGCCTTGGGAACCTGTGCCAGTGTGGAAGACCCAGAGGAAGCTCCTGGTTTCAGATCAGCTTAGTTCCGGCTGTTTCAGCCGATTGGGGAGTGAACCAGAGGGTGGAAAACATCTCTCTCTTTTTAAAAATATTTACTTGTACCAGAAAGGCAGATTTACGGAGTGCATGAGGGAGAGATCTTACATCTGCTGGTTCACTCCCCAAGTGGCTCCAACAGCCAAAGCTGAGCCAATCTGAAGGCAGGAGCCAAGAGCTTCTTCCAGGTCTCACACATGGGTACAGGGTCCCGAGGCTTTGGGCCATCCTCTTCTGTCTTCCCAGGCCACAAGCAGGGAGCTGGATGGGATGTAGAGCAGCTGGGACAATATCCAGAACCCATTTAGGATGCTGGCACTTGGAGCTAGAGGTTTAGCCAGTTGAGCCATAGTGCCAACCTTCTCTGTCCTTCCCTCTGTAAACATCTACCTTTCAAATAAAAGTAAATAAATCTTAAAAAAATCAATTTAAAAATATTTAGTTTTATTTGAAAGGTGAATGATAGGTCTTCCATCTGATGGTTCACTCCCCAAATGTCCACACAGAGCTGGGCAAGTCCAAAGTCAGGAGCCAGAGGCTTCTTCCTGGTCTCATGTGGGTGCAGTGATCCAAGGACTTCAGCCGTATCCCATTGCTTTCCCAGGAGCATTGGGAGTGGAGCAGCTGAGCTGCAGCTGGCACTCCTATGGATGACTTCACTCACTGAGCCACGCTGCTGGCGCAATAAATTTTTTTTAATATTCTTTTGGCAGGAATTGGTTGGGGTTCAATGAACTCAAGCAAAACTCCAAGGCAAGTGAAATGATTTTAACTTTATGTCCATGGCTAGTGAAATGATACTAATTTTCAGTCCAGGGTCAACCTCTTGCCATGAGCAAGAAGTGCCCTTGAACCAAATAAGTGTGGGGTTTTCATAGCAAGTATTTATGGGAAAATCAAAAGCTATATGCAGTGAGCAAATACATGATAAGGGGCTTACAGTGACACAAAACAGAAAGCATGTGATAGGAATTTACAATCCATAGGCTTGGGGTTCTGATCATATCACTTCAGTGCAGACAATAATAACATAGCATGCCTCGAAGGGAGCTGTCTTTCCCGTAAACCTCTCCCTATCCCCTGTCTGCCTCCTGGTGTTTCAGGAAGCGGAAGCTTTTTCTAGGAACAGGATCCAGGTGTCTCTTTGGAGATTTCAGACTTCCAAGAGTAGTCACCTTTACAACTAACCTTATGAGGAACTGATGTTGTTTACATGAATTTTAAGAGAAAAAAAAAGAGGAAAACACCAAGAATATCAAAATCACAAAAATGCAGCAATATTCTTCAACCTATTGATGAAAATTCATGGAAGAGGGGCTAACTTTGTGGCACAGTGGACTAAGGCATTGCCTGCAACACAGGCATCCCACACTAGACCAATCATTAATTTCCAACTACTCTACTTCCAGACCAGCTCTTTGCAAATGGGCCTGGGAAAGTAGCAGATAATGACCCAAGTGTTTGGATCCCTGCCACCCACATGGGAAACTATTTTCTGAGCTCCTGGCTTCCATCTGGTTCAGCCGCAGCTATTGGGGCCATTTGAGGAGTGAACTAGCAAATTCAAGATGTTTCTCTGTCACACTTTCAAATAAATGAAAAAAACTTGATATTTATATATTTATTTGAAAGTCAGAGGTGCAGAGACAGAGAGTAAGGAGAGCGACAAGAATCTTCTGTCTGCTAGCTGACTTCCCAGTAACTGCCATGTCTAGCATGAGGCCAGGCCAGAGCCAGGAGCTTCTTCCATCCCCCACACGGGTGACACGATCCAAGCACCCAGATTCTCTTTCACTACGTTTTTATTTATTTTTAATATTCATCTATTTATTGATTTGATAGGCAGAGTTACAGAAAGAGGGAGACACAGTGAAACATCTTCCATTCTCTGTTCCACTTCTCTGATGGCCGGAGCTAGACCAGTCCAAAGCCAGGAGCTAGGAGGTTCTTTGTGTCTCCCAAGTGGTTTTTCCAGGTATGTCACTCTAACAGCCCCATAAATATTTCTTTTTAAAGTTCATGGGAAATGGACCTTTGTTCCTCCTTCTCTGTAAATCTGCCTAATCAAAATAAATCTTGGGGTTTCGGTGTGTTAGTCTAGCAGCTGAAGTCCTTACTTTACACGTGCCAGGATCCCATATAGGCACTGGTTCATATCCCAGCAGCCCCACTTCCCTTCCAGCTCCATTTTGTGACCTGGGAAAGCAGTTAAGGACAGTCCAAAGCCTTGAGACCCTGCGTCTGTGTGGGACACCTGGAAGAAGCTCTTGGCTTCAGATTGGCTCAACTCTGGCCATGTGGCCACTTGGGGGGTAAACCAGAAGATCTTTCTCTCTCTCTGTCTCCTCTCTGGAAATTTGCCTGTCCAATACAAATAAATGTCTGTTTTTTAAATTATTTCTGTTTAGAAGGTGTAGCAAGAGAGAGAGATCTTCCACTGGATCACTCCCCGAATGGATGGGAGATCGAGAAGCCAGAACTTGACCCACAGTTTGTATGAGCCCCCTCATGACCTTTTTTGATGGATCAGTGCAAGGGGTCAGCACATTTCTTTGAAATGGCAGAGGTGGGCTTGCATATGTATGGGGTCCATAAGCAGCATAGTATTACTTTGTTTGATTAGACCCAGAATGTTCTAAGGAAGTTCGGCAAGTAGGGGTCGCGGTGAGATGGTAACTAAAGTAGTCTGGCCTTGTCTCCAGTCTTACACTTGAGTCACTCCTTTACCTTAAGGAAATAAACTTTTTTTCAAAGTTTTTAAGTTATATTTATTATTATTATTATTATTATTATTATTATTATTATTTTGGAAAGGCAAATACATAGAGAGGAGGAGAGAGGAAGATCTTCCATCTGATGGTTCACTCCCCAAGCAGCCGCAGCAGCTAGAACTAAGCCAATCCAAAGGCAGGAGCCTAGAGCTTCCTCTGGGTCGCCCACACGGGTGCAGGGTTCCAAGTATTTGGGCCTTCCTCCACTGCTTTCCCAGGCCACAAGCAGGGAGCTGTATGGGAAGCAGGGCTGCTGGGATTAGAACCGGTGCCCAAATGGGATGCCACTTGGTCCCAGTGGAGATTATTTCATTGGGCCTGGCGCGATGGCCTAGCGGCTAAAGTCCTCTCCTTGAATGTGGTCCCATTTAGGCCGCAGGTACCACTCTGATATAGCCTGTGACCTAAGCAGTGACTTCACCTGCTGTGTCACTGTGTCTACCCCTTAACATTTTTTTCCTCCAAAATAAACTGACATTTTATTCTTATTTATTCCTTTGAGAGGCAGAGAGAGAGAGCATTTGCTTCACCCAAATGCTTCCAGTCACTAGGGCTGGAGATCCTGGCAGAATGTGGTTGGGGAAGGACCCAAATGCTTGAGCCATTGCCTGCTAGAATTGGCATGGGGCCAAGACTGAAACCCCAGTGCCCAGATTTGAGATGTGGGCATCCTAACAGCATCTTGGGGCAAGCCAACCTGAGTGGGGGTTGGGGCACGGAGCCAGCAATTCAATCCTGCAGTGGCAGGGCCCCATTCACTCCAGCCATTAACCACCATGTGTTCTCCAGGCTCTGCTATGGCTGGGAACTGAACCTGTGAGGTCTGATTTGGAATATGGGTGTCCTAAACCATGTTTTATCTGCTAGATAAAGGCCCTCCCTTCCTCCAGCATATTCTGACAGAAGAACGACTCTGGATTAGCAGAAACTCCCCAGTACAGTGCCCTGTCAAAAGCTTACTGCCAACCCCCTGAGGGCAGGGTGAGGGTACAGACCCGGCTTCCTTCCCTGGACGTGGACAGGCATGACTGAGGCAGTGTTTGCGCTGAAAATAAAAAGCTAAGCATGATGACATCACTCTGGGGCTCCTCCAGCTGAGAAACTCCATGGACAAAACGGTTGGGGAAAAGAGACTCCTCTGTCATGGATTCCATGACTGGATTTTTTATTTTTTTAAGATATTTATTTTTATTGGAAAGGCAGCTTTTTTTTTATAGAGAAGAGAGAGAGAAAGTTCTTCCATGCACTGGGTCACTCCCCAGTTGGCTGTAATGGCTGGAACTGAGTTGATCTGAAACCAGGAGCTAGGAGCCTCTTTCAGGCCTCCCATGCAGGTGCAAGATCCAGTTCTTTAGTCCATCTTCTGCTGCTTTCCCCGGTCACAGGCAGGGATCTGGATGGGAAGTGGAGCAGCTGGGACACAAACCAGTGCCCATGTGGGATCCCAGTTCTTGGTTGTGGAGGTTTAGCAAGCCAAGCCAGTGCACCTGGAATGTGGCTAGATTTCTGACACCAGAGAAGCAGAGCAGGTGGGAGGGGCGTTGATGCCTTGGTCTAAGCTGGGCTGCACTTCCCTGAACCCATCTGGCTCAGGATCTTGTCCTGGGAGAGGAGTTTGGAAACCGTGCTGCTCTGGGTGGGGGGAAGGATGGGCATACAGTAAATAAATCAAATCGCCAAAACTGTTTTATTTGAATTGGAGAGAGATATACAGGCAGAGAAAGATAGATCCCGTCTGCTGATTTACTTCCCAAATCTCCGCAACAGTCAGGGCTGGGTCAGACTGCAGCCTGAAGCCTGGAACTGTGACCAACCGCATCTCCCGCGTGGTCCCCATCTGCCTCTTCGGGGCTGTGCTGTCAGGAAGCTGGTGTAAGAAGCAGAGCTGGGGCTTGAATTCAGGCATTTGAGAGTGTCCCAAGCTGCTGTCAGTTACAGCCGTCCTGTAGCGCTGCCCTTCCCCCTGCTCCCTGGTAGAGCATCTTAAACAAGCTTCACTGTGCACTCTGCTCTTGTGAATCCTCGCTGTGGGCGACGCGGGTCCCTTCCCGCCCCTTACAGGAATTAGGGCATCAAGCATGCTCACCCCTGACACCGGTCTGCTCTCTCCTGCTGGAGCAGGTGGCTGGAAAGCGCATGGTCTTAGTGTGCAACCGGCTGGGAAGTTGGAAAGGAAGACCCCATTCAGCTTTCGGGGGCTCAGGGAAGATCCGGAGGTGCTCCCTATAGCACAACCGCACATGCGCTTCAGGTGGGCTGGGACCCTACCTGCAGCCTGGGCTCTGCCCCTGACCTTGGTAAAGAGACCAGCCCCATCGCTGGACATCCCTGTCCACCCCATGTCCTCGCCCTTTGGTCCAAGTACCCCGCTAGCCGGGGCGGGGGCGGGGCTCAGCTCTAGATGAGGTTCCAGGTTTTCTTCCCTATTCTTCCCCAATCTGAGAAAGGAGGCGTGCGGGTGGGGTGGCCCATGTCGTCGTCTCCTTCTCCCAAACCTCATTGGAAACCCTCCTGGAGACCCAGGACAAGTGGGCAGAAGCCAGGAAGGGTAAGAGGGTCTATTTCCTGCATGTGGCATTGTCTGAAGGGCCGCATCCGGAACTGCGAGGTGGCAGCGCCTTCCCCCACCCCACCCCCGCCGGAGCCCCGGCGGCCTCGGCGCGGTGCCGAGTCCAGGAGGGCGTGTCCGCGCGCTCACCTGCCATTGGCCAGGTGAGGCGGCCGGGCCGCGAGCAGCGGCCGGGCTATAAGTGCCGACACCGTGGTTGCGAGGCCAGGAGCCGGCCAGGATGGTGGACAGCGTGTACCGGACCCGCTCCCTGGGGGTGGCGGCCGAAGGGCTCCCGGACCAGTACGCGGATGGCGAAGCGGCGCGCGTGTGGCAGCTCTACATAGGGGACACCCGCAGCCGCACGGCCGAGTACAAGGCGTGGCTGCTCGGGCTGCTCCGCCAGCACGGCTGCCAGCGGGTGCTGGACGTGGCCTGCGGCACCGGGTGAGCCCCCAGCGGGTCGCGGGAGGACCGAGGGGTCGTGGCCAACAAAACACATTGGGGCGCAGGGGGCGCCGACAGGGACCAGGCAGGCCAGGGCTGGGAGGCGCCGCTGGGGCGGCAGGGGCATGGCTAGTGTCGACTGGGAGAGCTAGGGTGTGGGTGCCGGAGACTGGCCCAGACTCGACAGCTGGGCTTTGGGGCCAGGCCCCTCCTTACCCTGGCCTTGGGTAGCGTTAACATTTGCTCAGCGCGCGCACGTGCCAAGCTCTAGCTGCTGCTGTTTTCCAAACTCTCACTACCCGCCCACCCCCACCTCCCCCTTCCGTCCCCCCCCGCCCCTCCCCCGCTCCCGCAACACAGGGAAAGAGATAGAGAGAGAGAAAAAAAAAGCATGGGTAAGTGGTGCTAATCCTGACTCACCCCTGGGGAAGGAGGCCCCCGCCCAGCGGGAGGAGACGTAACCCCAGGGTTGGTTAGGGAGGGTCCCTCCTCTCGGCTAAGCCACAGTGCGCACAGTCCTGGAGCTCAAGTTCCTTCACCCACTAGGAGCTCCCATCTGCCAGCCCGTTTTCTCCAGCGCTGCCCCCAGGGTCGCGGGGAGGATTCAGGCAGTTTGCGGTCGTGGCTTGCCAGGCTCTGCAGAGGCGTGCTAAGTGGCGCCGCCTGGTAATGAGAGGCAGTGTGCCAGGTCACCTGAGGACCGCGAGAAGGCCCTGGGAGGGTGGGAGCAGCTGCGGGAGTTGAAACAGGAGGGAGGTGGGGGCTGCCGGACTCCTGACTGCTCCCCATCTCCCGACACTATCCAGGGTGGATTCCATCATGCTGGTGGAAGAAGGCTTCAGCGTGACCAGCGTGGACGCCAGCGACAAGATGCTGAAGTATGCACTCAAAGAGCGCTGGAACCGGCGGCATGAACCTGCCTTCGACAAATGGGGTATGCAGGGCCGCGCGGGAGACACTGTCCACCTGGCCCTGGATTCTGGGGGAGAGGGATGGGCTGTTCTGTTTTCCTCAAGGTGACAGCAAAAATGTCCTGTGCCTGAGAAGGGAGGCCTGGGTATCTAAGGGGAGGAGCTAGATAAACTGTGTTTACAGCGCTCTGGCCCTCCCTGCAGATAACACACAAATACGGGTAGCCCTGCCTCCCAGCCACCGCGCCCTCCTCACCCTCCAAGCCCACGATGATCCCCTCTTCCTAACTAGATGGGAGTCCTTGTGGGTGTCTTGAAGAGGAAACTAAGACTGGTGCAGTAGAAGTTGCTGCCTGCAGCATCAGCATCCTGTATTGGCACCTTTTAGAGTCCCAGCTGTTCTACTTCTAGTCCAGCTCCCCGCTAATGCACTTGGGAGGGACGGTCCAAATGCTTGGGCGCTTGTGCCCATGTGGGAGACTCAGAAGCAGCTCTGGTCTCCCGGCTGTGACCTAGCCCTGCCTTGGCCATTGCAGCCACGGGGGAGTGGACCAGCAGAGGCAAGTGTTCTGTCTCTCTCTGCCTTTCAAATACAAATTTTTTTTTTTTAATGAAGACATGCAAGACTGCACTTGGTGGTGGTGGTGGAGGGGGTGGGGAGGTGTCACTGGCACCCTGAGGTTACCCTGAAAATGGTCCCTTGCTATGCCCCCTAGTCATAGAAGAAGCCAACTGGTTGACGCTGGACAAAGACGTGCCCCGGCCAGCAGGGGGCGGGTTTGATGCTGTCATTTGCCTTGGGAACAGTTTTGCCCACCTGCCAGACTGCAAAGGTGAGAGGAGTGGCCTTGTGGGTGGGCGGGCAGAGCCACGCCTCTTACTCCACCCCTTTCCAGTCCTCCCCTACTCCCCACCTCCCTGGCCAGCCCACTCTTGTTTCTGCTTGTCTCTGCCCCAGTGCTGGTGTCCCTGGGGAGGAGAAAGATGGCAGGCTGTGGAAGAGAGAGACGGGGTGGGGGGTGGCCAGGGGTCCCCCAAGCAGACCAAGCCTCTGCCTCTGCCTGGAGCTCAGGGGACCAGAGCGAGCACCGGCTGGCACTGAGGAACATCGCGAGCATGGTACGCTGCGGGGGCCTGCTGGTCATCGACCACCGCAACTACGACCACATCCTCAGCACGGGCTGCGCACCCCCTGGGAAGAACATCTATTACAAGGTGGGGGTCTCCTCCCCCTGCCCTGTGAGGAGTGTGGGCCTGGACTCCAGGGTCCCACGGGAGATGACAGAGGCTCACACAGCCTGCTGCATGCACCGTTCCCTGCCTGCAGAGTGACCTGACCAAGGATGTCACGACATCGGTGCTGATGGTGAACAATAAGGCCCACATGGTGACCCTGGACTACACGGTGCAGGTGCCGGCGGCTAGCCAGGATGGTGTTCCAGGCCTGAGGTAGACGGGAAGCCACTGTGCTTGGGGGGGCCTGGATGGTGCGGTGGCTGAGGCCAGCAGCCCTCAGGGGTTGGCCCGGGCTCTGTTGCAGTAAGTTCCGGCTCTCCTACTACCCGCACTGCCTGGCACCCTTCACGGAGCTGCTCCGAGCAGCTTTCGAGGGCAAGTGCCAGCACAGCGTCCTGGGAGACTTCAAGCCCTACGAGCCAGGCCAGGCCTACGTCCCCTGCTACTTCATCCACGTGCTCAAAAAGACGGGCTGAGAGCAGCCACCGCTCCCATGGCCCCATGCACACTCGGACCCAGCAGCTCCATACCCGGCCCTTCCAACTGCTGCGGACACCAGGGGAGAGGGGCTGTGTGGGGAGGGGCTGGCTACAGCAGAGGGTGTGTAGAACATAGGTTCAGGCCAATGGAAGGGCAAGCAATACAGTCCGTGCCTTGACCATTCCTGCAAGCTTCGCGTTTATATGGTCCTCCCTCACACACCCACTGCCTACAATCTTGCTCTTCACACGAGCCAGTTATGCCACAACACCAGCAGGGGGCAGCATACACTTTATTTTCAGCCACTTTCAGGTTCCCAATCCCCAGAACCAGGCATATGCCAGCCCTCCTGAGCAGCTGGCCTGGAGGCAAAAAAAATACCCAGGTGAGCTCTTGCTGGGCCTGCCAGTCACCCAGGGCTGTGTCTCCTGCAGGGAGGTGGCGTTCGGGAGGGGCAGTGGCAGCAGTCTGCAGGGGGGCTACCTGCGGCCACTGTGGCAGGGAGCTCCCTAGCAGGCAGCAAACTTGTGCTGGATGCGCTTGTACCTCAGCAGCTCCTGCTCGCTGACTGAGGGCTGCAGCTGGGCGGCGGCCTGCAGCAGGTCATCCATGGTGAGCACCAGCGGCGAGCTGGCCAGCTCCAGCCCTGAGGAAGGGGGAGGAGGGTGGCAGCAAGGGAAGGAAGGTCGGGATCTCCATGTCAGCTAAGGGCAGACTGAGGCTGAGGCCCCGGACTCCCCAGGGCAGCAGGACCAGTCCACTAGGCGTGGTCCCTTCCCACTCAGAGTGCCCCGATGTGCCGTCTGCTGAAATGCAGCACTGGGACTGGCTCTTGCTAGTTTTTTTGGGTTGATTCTGGGGTGGCAAAGGGCTCACCTTCTTCCAGTTCATGAACTCTGCGTCTAAGGGCACTCGTCATGGCGTCAGAGCAGAGTGAGTAGAGATCTGCCCCTGTGAGCTGGGCCGGGCAGCAGTCCAGCACGTCCACCAGGCTCACTGAGGGCTCCAGCTTGAATCTGTCAGGGTTGGGGTTGGGAGGAGATGGGACCTCACCTCCCTCCTCTCAACCCAGCCCTGACCGCCACTCCCAGGCTCAAGCCCCTTTTGGGAGTGTCCTGTCAACGGGGGCATACTTGCGTGTGATGGCACTCAGAATGCGCAGCTGGGAGGCCCGGTCCTCGCTGGCACCCACAAACACCAGCTTGTCAAATCTTAGGGAGACAGGGAGGGAGAGGGTAGGTGCATCTGAGGTACGAGTGGGCACCTGGCCAGCAAGAATAAAGCAGACATGCAGCAGGGGTGAGGGGCAGGCCTGGTGGAGGCCAGCGGGCCAGGGTGCCTACCTGCCAGGCCGCAGAAGAGCAGGATCCAGGAGGTCTGGTCTGTTGGTGGCCCCGATCACAAACACATCCCCAGTGCTGTGGAGCCCGTCCAGCTCAGCCAAGAGCTGTGAGACCACCCTGGAGAGCAGAGAGGGAAACTACAGTGGGGCATGGTCCTCGGTTCACCCCACCTGCAGGGGTCTCTCCTGGCAGACTGTTCAGTGGAGGCCCTCTGTCAGTACTGTCACCTGCTCTTGGGCCCCAACCCTCCTGCAGCTCACACCCAGCACCTGCCCTGTAAGGCCACCTCAGAACCATGGGAAGGACAGAACATTCTCTTTGCCTCCACCCAGGACCCCCAAACCCCTCTTGCTCAGCAGCCCCCCACCACACACACCTGTCCATCACTCCTCCAGAGTCTCCACTTTGGCCCCGATTTGGGGCCAAGGAATCCAACTCATCGAAGAAGATGATGCATGGGGCTGCCGCCCTGGCTCTGGCAAACACTGGGGAGAGAGGGGAAGAGGGGAGGAAGGCAGCTCAGGGTGCGGGCGCTTGCAGCTGAGAGATGAAGAGCTGGCTGGGTCTGGCAGAAGGGAGACCTGGGACCCCTGCCTCCCCACCCTCTGCCTCTCTCACCTTCCCGCACATTCTCCTCACTCTGGCCCACGTACATGTTGATCAGCTCTGGCCCCTTCACGCTGAGGGAGATTGGGAGGCAGGAGAGATGCTTTAGATGCATGCGTGTGCGCGCACACACACACACAGCTGACTTCTCAGGCTGCCCTCCCCAACCCCATTATCTCCCTCACCTGAGGAAGGTGAGGCTGCACTCAGTGGCGACTGCCTTGGCCAGGAGGGTCTTGCCTGTTCCAGGGGGCCCATGGAGCAGAAGGCCCGAGCGCCTCAGGCCCAGACTCAGCAGCTCAGGGTGCTCCAGGGGGAGCTGAATGGTTTCTAGGATCTCTCTCTTCACCTCCTGCAGCCCACCCACATCATGCCAGGACACTGAGGGGATCTGGGTGATGGATGGGCAGAGAGAAGGCATCTGGCATAGGCTGGGGTAGGCAGCTCTCCTGCCCCATCCCACTCCTGTTGCCCGGAGCCTGCACCTTGGGGGCTCCCACGGCCTGGGAGTGAGCTGCCTGCAGCTGCTCCAGCGCCTGGCCAAAGTCCTCTGCCACGATGGGAAAGCCAGCGGCACACAGCTCCTCTTCATCCTCCTCGCTCAGGCCTCCTGGCAAACTGCAAGGGGAGCCTTGTTCGTAAGGTCCTCCCCATCCCCACCCCTCCTGCTCCTTTCCCCCTCCATCCTGAACACAAACCCCCTTACCCCAAGTTCCTAATCCTGGAGCAGGCTGCCCGGCTACTGTGGGCCACAAGGGCACAGAGGTCCCCTGCCACGAAGCCCTAGAGAAGGAGAGGATGTATAAGCAGGGTGTGGCAGTCAGGAGACACCCTGGGGGATAGGTCCCCTCAGAGGCCTGGAATTTCCCAACGTCACCTAGAGGCAGCAGAACTGGCCTCCTTCTGTGACTAGGTCCTAGGGTTTCCCAGGCAGGGAGGCATGGGCCTCGTCTTGATACTCACTGCACACCGCCGTGCCAGCTGTGCCAAGTTCACCTCTTGGCCCAGGGGGAGGCGGGCGGTAAGGGCCTGCAGGATGCTGAGTCGCTGCCCCTCCGACAGCACAGGCATCTCCAGCTCGTGCGGAAATGCTGTCTCCACATCAGTGGGCAGGTCCTGGGCCCGGCTCGTGGTGGCCAGTACCAGGAGAGGAGGGCAGCTGCGGGCAGAGGGGTGGGCACTGAAGCTGAGCAGGTGCCCTACCACAGGGCAGAGATGGTGGCAGGGACAGGATGGAGCAGGGAGACCACCTGAGGTTGAGGGATGACCCCGGGCAACGGGACCTTGCTAAGGCTTAGGCGGTTAACTTTTCAACCTTCTTCCCCCTCCACATGCCCCTCGAGCCCTCCTTTGGGCTCAGGGCTGCTGAGGACAGCGCAGGGTGGTGGGGAACCAGTCCTGTGTGCATACCTGTCAAGGGGGGCCTCATCCAGGAGGAGGCGACGCAGGGCTGCGACCACCCGCGTGTCCTCTCCCAGGCCGTCCTGGTCCCGGCCCAGTAAGTCCAGGGCTGTGAGCAGCAGCACCACGGGTCGGCAGCGGCGGGCCCACGAGAAGACGGCCTGCAGTTTTGTCTCTGTAGCCCCGCTGCTGTCTGCGCAGAGGCTGGAGCAGGGCACCTGGTGAGGGGCCGCCCAGGGTCCGTGAGCAAGAGGTGGGAGGTGTGGCAGGGAGTCAAAAGTTGCTGCCCCTGGAAGGAAGGCCTGGACGACGGAGGCACCACACTGGCCAGGTCACCCCTTTTCTCAACCCTACTCAGGCCCTGGGGTTGTCTAACCAGACCTCTCAGCTCCTCCTCCCTCTGAGCATGCCTGACCCGCAGCCCACCAGGGCGATGTGTCAGGGCTCCTAGAAGGCCATGGGAGAGTGAAAGAGGAGCAGACACATGGAAGAGCTGGGCTGGGGGGGCACGGGTCTCTACTCTTCAGGGTACCTCACCTTCATTAAGTGGAGCCCAAGGCGACCACAGGCAGCACTGACCACGGTGGTCTTGCCACTGCCCGGGGGGCCCCGTAGGAGGATGCAGCTGGTTCCTGTCAGCAAGGACCCCCTGAAACCACAGAACAGGCACTGGTGCCTCCATCCTGCCCCGATTTCAAGTCCCCACCCACACGGGAACCCTGGAATGGTAGAAAGCAGATGGCGTGTGACTCGTGGGCTTCCCTGCCCCCAAGCCCGGGGCTGTCCCCTACAGGGAGGCCGGGGCTCCCACATTGCCCACAGCATGCAGTGTGGGGCGGGGCTGAGCCCGTGTGCCATCCCTGTGCCTGCAGCATACCATGCAGGGTGGGTCTACACGTGGGCCACCAGTGGCCTTTAGGGCCACAGGGGTGTAGGTGAAGGGCAGGCTGCACAGGGGAAAGGGAGCCCCAGAGAGGCTGCCCTTGCGGGCACTTCTTTCTTGATAGTCGACCCTGCAGGAGGGAGGTTACCTCAGGATCAAGCCCAGTGACCTGGGCTGCACCTGTGAGCCTGTGGAATGTCCTCCCATTCCCATGCCTACCCCTAGAGCTTTAAGAACTTGGAGTCCAGGCTGTCTGACCAGGGACTGTGGCCTCACTCACCCTGTTACTCACCCCGGCTGCAGGCGTGGCTTGAGTGTGGCGCACAGCTCAGCCACCAGGCCCTCTAGGCCAGGAGGAGACAAAGAACTCCACAGAGCTGTCGCTGAGTGGGGCCTGGGGACAGGGCTCAGGGTAGAACCCACCTGGGAGAGGCAGGAGGAAGCTGCTGGATCTCACATTGGCCCCTCACATCCCCTGCCCAGGGCCCCTAGCACCTCACCATGTACAGAGAAGTATGGGTGGTGTCAGCCAAGTAGGCACTGGCTGGCCCCTCCACAACCTCGCCAACCGTCTTCTTTACTTTAAAAAATAGCTCCGGCCACCTGCAGGAAAGAGGCCTGGTTGAACCTCAAATTACCCCCAAAAGACTTTCTCCAGCACATAAGCGCCCCAAGGCCTGAGGCCCAGCAGGAAGTACAGGTGCCCCCCACCACAGGATCTTCTCCTGCCCTGACCCTGCCCAGGTTGCACCTCACACATATGCAGGACAGGAGTCAAGCCTTCCCTTTCCTCTCTCCCCCACTTCATGACAACCCTCAGAGAGGCCTGGGGTCGTGTTTCTCCAGCCCTGCGGTCTGCCAGCCCACAGCAAGAGAAACCACTGCCACCTTAAGCAAGGGAACATGTCAAGTTATTTCCAGTGACTGCACGTGCAGTCTCTCCCTCAACCATGAGGGGACTAAATGCATGGGCAAGTGAAACTGAAAGTTTGGATTCAATCATTTTTCCTTTATGAAGACCCCCTGAACACACTCAATTCACCCCTCTCAACCCCACCTCCCCCAAGCCACAAGAGGGAGGGAAGGAAGGGTGCCTGGGCTCTCATTTAATCCACAAAATCTGATGGCAGGCCGTCATAATAACTTTTACTGTGCATTTGGATTCTTTTTCCTGGCTGCACGTTGGAGTTAACCTATAGACTTCACCTGAGAGAGGACTACGGAGTGAGTGAAAATGGGCTCAGGGTTTCCCTGGGGGCAACAAAGAGTCTAGAACCAGACAGCAGTGTCAGGTGCACAACCTTGTGCGTGTAACTAAAACCACTGAATTGAAAATATGAATGTTATGGTGTGTGAATTTATCTTCTTAGAGACTCACCTTCCCACTTTTGCCTTTGATGGGAGAAAGGTGATCTGATGGGCCTTGAAGAGGTATTTGCACCTGTTGCCCTAGATCTGATAGCGTAGTGTAGTCGCTCAAAGTGAGCAGTATGCTACCTTCTCTCGAGGAAGAGGATGGGTGACAGGTGACACCGACTCATTTCATTTCCAAAGACCTGGTGAGTTCCTCACCCTCTTTAATCTACAGATGGCAAGGCGATGGCAGAGCCAGCTGGTCAATATTGGGTCCAGACAGGGCGCCAAAGTGGGGGTGCCTCAGGGTGAGGCGGGAGAGTGCGGCGAGCAAGTGTTATGAAACACCCACATGCCAGGGAGCAGGGACTGTGGTCTGGACAAGCACAATCAGAGCCTACAAGCCAGCCCTAGATGCTCACTGCTCTCCGAAGGGCTATGATGAGGGTCAGCATGGAGGAGGAGTGGGGAGAGGCCACCCCCAGCAGCAGATGGCTGTTGGATTCACACCACCTTCCCCCTGCTCTGGGTGAGCAGAAGGGACAGAGCTCAGAAAGCTATCTGGACAGCATGGAGGATGCTAGAGTGTGTTCCAGGGAGCCAGATGGACAGTGGTGGGGCTGGCTCCCGCGTGGCCTCTTTCTGGGAAGTGGGGCACAGAAAATATACTAAAGGGCTATCCCAGCAAGGGAATTCCCTTCCAAGGAGCACAGGAACATACTAACCAAACCCAGGGAAACCAAAGCACTGGTATCCGCTCTTGGGCCCACCTGCCTACTCACTGCAATCCTACCCACCTCAGAACCTGTGAGGGGAATCATGTGTGTGCTCAGCACCTGGGGCTGGGGGAGTGGGGAGCCAGGAGTCTGTAGGGTTGGGGTGGCAGAAGCCCTTGGATAGAACTAGCTTGCTGGCCTGTCTTGTCAAACGCTTGTGCGTGCACAAAGGGTGGGCATTCTATCCAACTTTCCTAGCGAGAGCTGGCTCACAGGTGTTTGCTAAATTTGCAATAGGAGACAGAGGATGGAAGTGACCCAGAAGTGCATTTTCCAACGGCCCCCAGCTGTGGCCTGGGACACTTGTAGGAGGTGAATCATGAAACCTTAGTGGGGTTCTACAGGGCACCACCAGGCTGTGTGGGCAGAACCCAGCATTGGCTAGGGTCCAAAGAGAGTTATGTGCTCCTGATAAGGCGTCTCCTGGTAGGGGACTCTGGGCTGGTGAGGCCCGCGGCCTGGGGCATGACAGCTCTTACAGCATTTCTCAGCTGTGATCTCCTTTTAGCACATCATTTCAGGAAATCAGCCCAAACTAGGTCTACCCTGTGGTCCGGGTTCCACCTTTTCCTCCCTTTACATCTCCTCACTGCCATCTTGGCTCTTCACCTCGCCATGTGGCATGGAGCCTCTGTGACCAGAGCCAAGGGGAAGAGAAAAGCTGGACCCCTTGTTCTTGGCTCAGTAACGCCATTTGTCACCCTTGGTGGAGATGGATGGGAAAGAGCAGGCCTCTTTTGCACAGCAGCGACCCCGCTGTGCTGTTTCAGGCTGAGACAGGATGGCCAGAGTGCACACATGCCATCCAAGAGCACAAACCACCTGTGTGCCCTTTTAGGTTGATGGGAAAGTTTGGTCCAAACGCCATGGTTTATGATAGAAAGGAAGAAATTCCACTGTAGCCCATCAGTCAGTCTGCGGATAAAACATCTCCCAATGCCAGTGGGTTTCTCTAATCATGCACCTGTTCAGGAATGTGAAGAAGGGATGGATGGAGCTATTCTCCAGGGAAAAAAAAGTGCATGACAGCCACAAAGGATTCTCCTTCACACGATGTGGGGAGAAGGGATTAGAAAATTCCTACACCCAGATGACAAACCCCAGCCCTAAAGATAGGAGGCAGCTGCATACCTTGGCAGTTTCTCTGCATTTCCTTCCAGGACCTCTGTTTGCCCAACTGTCGGCACACACAGGATATCCCCTTCCTGGACCACCCTGCAACACAGCAGTGGTCCCAGTCAGCTCATGGCAGGGGTCTGACATTTCCCCATGCCCCTCCCCAGCATACAGACTATCTCCCATGTACTCCACACCCTGGGAACCCAAGCCGCTTTCCGAGCAAGATCTAGAAGGTGCTGGCAGTTGCAGTGGGGAGACCCGAGAGGTCACAGAGGCGTCCTGGCTGGCTCTGGAGCTCTCCTTGTTCAAAGAAGTTTCTCCATTCAGAATGTACACACTCATTGCATGCTTTGGATTTCTCTTCAGGTTGTTTGCCTGATAGGCTGCAAGGATTCTAGCTACAAGACTGTCCCAAATGTAGTATTTTTAAAACGTTATTTGGAAGGCAGACAGATTTTCCACTTACTGGCCCACTTCCTCAATGTCTGCAACAGCCAGGCCTGGTCCAGGCCAAAGCTAGCAGCCTGGAACTCCATCCGGTTCTCCCATGTGGGTGACTGGGGCCCAAGTACTTAGGCCATCATCAGTTGCCTGCCCAGGCACATTAGCAGAAAGTTGGGTCAGAAATGAGGCAGCCAGGACCTGAACTGACATCCTGGCATGGGATGTAGGGCAGTTTAACTTGCTGCCCTATAATGCATGCCCCTTCTTTAGGTGTATTTATATATTTATCTAAAGATCTATTCAACCAAAAGGCAGAGAAAACAGAAAAAGAAGGTGAGACACACACAAAGAGAAAGAGCTTCCATTCACTTTGCTTATACTCCACATGCCTCCAACAGCTGGAGTTGGGCCAGGCTAAAGCTAAGAGCCCAGACTCCATCTGGGTCTCCTTCATGGGTGGCCAGGACCCAAACACTTGAGCCATTTTCTGTTGCCTTCTAAGAAGTGAACCTAGCTCGAAGTGGAGGAGCCAGGACTGAATCCAAGCATTCCAATGCCCTCTCATTGGATGTGGGGGGTGCATCCCTAAAGCAAGGACCGGAACTAGGCATTCCTAATGCCCCCCACTGGGTGTGGGGGGCACCCTAAAGCTGGAACTAGAACCAGGGTCTCCAATGCCCCCACTCTCTGTGGGGATATCCCTAAAGCTGAGACTGGAACCAGGGTCTCCAATGCCTCCACTGGCTGTGGAGATATCCCTAAAGCAGGGACTGGAACCAGGCACTCTGATTTGGGATGCAGGCATCTTTACTAGCAGCTGAACCTGCTACAGCGCGATGCTCACCCCCAAAATCTGGCTCTGGAACACCTGCCTCTAAGGCATGGGACGGAAGAGTGCTGAAGACTTGAGATGCTTTTAGCCACTGGCGGAGTGGGGCAGCTAACCTGGGTGTCTCAAAGTGCCGGTAAAGAGCACGGTCATAATTCCCGCTAGCGCTGTAGTGGGGAGAGGACACAATCTCGATGTGTAACTCTCTGGCGAACGGGGGTCTGCGAAGCAGCGAGCAGCTTCCTTTGTCTTCAGGGGCCGCGGTGCCTTCCAGGTACCTCTGCGAGACAGACAAGTGCCACCTTTCAACCTCCTCCTAAGGAAATAGGCTGCGCCAGTCTCTTAGCAACCGAGAGATCTCCATCCTCTAACCTTCATAACCACCAGGCTTGCAGGAGGTAAGACCTGAGACGACACAGCTGCCCACTGAACGGGCCCAAAAGAGATGCCACCCCCTTTTCTCACTCTGGCCTAGACCCTAAACCAGACTATTCAGTTACCATTAAGTAACTAATTGATCATTGACCCTACATTAAACCATATTACTTATTAAACATCAAATGAAGCTGCGATATTGAAGTAAACACAGAAAGCAAATACTTTATTAAATGCTAGGCATCACATAACAGAGCCTTTTTGTTTAAGAACTAATCTATAAGATAGGTAAGTAACCTTTATTTGAAATACTTGGCACTACAGTTGTTCAGATTATATATATATATATATATATATATATATTTTGATTTTGGAATATTGCATAGACTTGGCGGGATCAGTATCCCTGATTTGAAAATCTGAAATCCAAAACCCAAAACACTCCCGTTTGGAATTTCAGATCAGGGATGCTGGGCCCATCCATGATTGCAGCATAGATAGATGATGTAATCCTAACAGGACAGAATCCAATGAATGCCCTAAGCAAAGGACAAAATGCTATCGGAAGACGTTGTGCTGCATTTGTGTGTGATGAGATTACGCAAGGTTTTGTGACAAAGGTAGAATGTTTCATAGGGTTTTGAAAGAACAGGCAGGCAGGACTGTAACAGGTGAGTCTAGAAGAATCAGCAGGTTGTTCAAAGTCAGGATAAGCACTCCTCCCTCCTCCTGGCCACACTCCAGTACAATCCTGCACAGGCTGTCAGCAAACAGCTGGAAAGGCAGGGTAGATCAGGGCACAGGCCCCCTTCCCCAACTTGATGTGGCACCTCACCCGTCACCCCAACAGATCTGACAGGGTGGGTTCCTGCACACTACAGAGCCTTATGGGATTTTGATAAGAGAAACGACATAAAGGTTAACAGACATTAGGTGAAGACAGGAGCAGAGCAGCCCAGGACTCCTGCCCGCTCCATAAAGACGGCCTCCATCCTGCTGCATACCTGAATGCTCAGTTCTCCCACTTCCAGGGGGTCACAGCCGAGATTAAAGGCCAAAGTGGCAGGCACCAGCGCCAGGCCATGGGCAAGAGGCTCTCTCTCCTGGCCAGAGCCTGGTCCCAGCCTCTCCGACAGGTCCCAGCGAGGATCAAGGACCTGCACCGTGGCCAGGTGCGGCTGGGACGCGGCCAGTGGCTGTCCGGCCCGGGCCACCCACACCCACTCGCCCTGGAAGAGACCCAGGCCGCGCAGGCAGCTCCGGCTCACCGCCAGGGCCTCTCCAGTCCCTCCTGGAACTCCCTGGAGTAGTCGTGCCGTCCTGGAAACGGCGAAGGAGGACACCAAGGGCGCGGGTGGGAGCCGGCTGCCGTCCCCGGTGTCCGAGCCCAGCCTGGCCCGCCCGCGGAGCTCGGTCACCGTCAGACGCGTCCCGGGGCCCAGCAGCCCTTGAAGCGCCGGCCGCGTCTCCAGGACCCGAGGCCCGGGCACTGGCAGGATCTCTCCGCGCCTCACCAACAGCGGCCCCCCGACTCGCGTTGCCAACCCGGGCTCCGGCGAAGTGCCAAGCAGTGCCCAGCTCAGTGCTGGAGGCCGCCGCACGGGCCGAGCCCGCACCCGCGTCCCGGAGCCCACGGCCAGGAGCCGGAGCAGCGCGCGGCTAACCAGCAGCAGCGGGGGCCCAGGGCCCCGCGCCTCGGTCTCCGCGTCCGGCCCGTCCAGGGCTGCCACAAGCAGAGCCGGCCCCGCAGGGCTCTCCCCGGCAGGCCGCAGGGCCAGCACCAAGCCCAGTCCCGCCGCAGGCCACGGGCCCCCGGGCGGGAGCAGCACAGACAAGGGAGGGGTCTCGGTCGGGAAGGGATCCAGCACTTGCAGGACAGCCAGCGCCATGGTGACAGGAGACCCAAGAGGAGGAGGAGCTGGAAGGAGCGCAGCTTCCGCAGTATGCGAACTAGACAACGGGGCGTTTCCACTTCCGTTCCGGGAAGTGAAGAGGGTGGGTGGAGAGATGGGCGTGGCGACGGATGCACCGAGCCCCGCCCCATCCGAGACCCGCCCCGGGTAGATCAGGACCGTGGCTCGATGGCAGTGACCGCGACCACTGCGGTTGCGCGGGCTTTACGCATGCGCCCTGTCAACCTGCGTTTACCACGGTTGGCCTTGGCCTTTTGAGGAAGTAGCGTCCGCCCAGTCCCAGATCCTGTAGCGTATACTTAACAGTTTAATTGATCAATGGACAGCGGGCCCAGTCCTGGGGAGCAGTGCGTGGAATGAGTTTGGAGACTGCGGTGGGAAGAGAGGTTGCAGAAGGGAGTGGTCGAGTTACAAAAATGTTTCAGGCCTGCTTGTAAGTCTGTGGTGGTTGCTGGCAGAATTCCCTGTGAATCATGTAGCCCGGCAGTGCTTGGCGCTGCCACACCTGTTCTAGCACATCCTACACAAAACCCACGTTCCAAGGCTTCTTGTCCTGCTCCATTATCCTGGGCGTGTAACTCCTTCCAAACTCCAAGATAAAGCAGCTGTCTGCTTTCTTGACCCAGCTGCCCTCCCACACCCACCCTTGCAGACCTATTCACTCTTTTAAAAGTGTATATATGTATATACATATATATAATATACATATTTATTATTGGGAAGACAGAGTTACAGACAGAGGAGAAAAACAGAGAGAGATCCTCCATCTATTAGTCCAGTCCACAGATGGCTGCTGCTTTCCCAGGCCATAAACAGGGAGCTAGATCAAAGTGGAGCAGCCGGGCCCAGCGCAGTGGCGCAGTGGTTAAGGTCCTCGCCTTGCACGCCTGGGATCCCATATGGGTGCCAGTTCTAATCCTGGCAGCCCCGCTTCCCTTCCAGCTCCCTGCCTGTGGCCCGGGAAAGCAGTCGAGGACGGCCCAAAGCTTTGGGACCCTGCACCCGCATGGGAGACCCGGAAGAGGCTCCTGGCTTCGGATCGGCATAGCATCGGCCCGTGTGCTCACTTGGGGAGTGAATCATCGGACGAAAGATCTTCCTCTCTGTCTCTCCTCTCTGTATATCTGCCTTTCCAATAAAAAAATAATAAAAATAAATCTTTAAAAAAAAAAGTGGAGCAGCCAAAACTTGAACAGTGCACATAGGGGCACTGTTCATAAGGGCTCTGCACACAGAGGATCAGCCTGCAACACCACTGTGCCGACCCCAACCCATTCATTCATTTTAGAGAGGGCGATGCTGCAGAGCAGGCAGGAGGGACTGTTTCCAGGCTTTCCAACAGCAGTGTCTCACCTGGGCTGGTTCTGACTCCATCCTTACCCACACCTCCACTGCTCTCTGTAGGAGACACTGCAAGAGACAGGCCGCATGACCAGGGATGGACATTCGTTTTCACTTGGAATCCATGGGCTGGGTTGCATGGCGCTGATCTGTCCCAGCTACTGCCCTACTGCCCAGCTGTCTGCTCTCTTCACCACTAAGCATCCTGGGACTGCCTTCTATTTTGCATATTATGCATTCCTGAAAATCTGAAAGTCAAATACCTGAAAAGTAGATGTTTTATGTATATATTATAAAGTCCATTTATCTAAGGAGAGAGAGGACCAAATTTTTTTAAAATGTTCATGGAGGTGCCTTCAATCTTAAATCTGAAAACTTTCCCATTCCTCAACTGATTTTCCTTTTAAAAATGTTTATCTATTTTTTTCAAAGGCAGAGTGACAGAGATGGAAAATGGAAAAAGATTTTTCATCCAGTTCGGCGTGGTAACCTGGTGGCTAAAGTTCTTGCCTTCCACGTACTGGGATCCCATATGAATGCTGGTTCTAATCCCATCCAGCTCCCTGCTTGTGGCCTGGGAAAACAGTTAAGGATGGCCCAAAGCCTTGGGACCCTGAATCTGCTGGGAGACCCAGAGGAAGTTCCTGGTTCCTGACCTCAGATCAGCTTAGCTCCAGCCATTGCAGCCACTTGCGGAGTGAATCAGCAGATGGAAAATCTTCCTCTCTCTATGTCTCTCCTTCTCTGTATATCCGACTTTCTGATAAAATAAACCTTAAAAAGGGGCAGAGAGAGAGAGAGAAAGAGAGAGAGAGAGAGAGATCTTCCATCCACTGAATAACTTCTCAAATAGCTCATTTATAAGGTGTAGCCAGCTGAAGTCAGGAGCCTGAGATCCCATTAAGGTTTCCTTCATGGGCGGCAGGGCCCCATGTACCTCAGTCATCATCCACTGCTTTCCCAGGCAATCATCAAGTGGTTGGATTGGAATAGGAACAGCCTCAAATCTGGGATGTCAGCTTCCAAAGTGGAGGTTTAACCCAGGACTGTCCCCAGTCCTTATGTTTCCAAGCACATTTAAGAAGACACTGGGTACCTGGCTGCACATAGATGAAAGATCCCACTCAGGGTGTGGGCATTTAGCCTGGCAGTTAGGATAGCCACATCCCACCTCCTGGGAGGGAATGCCTGAATTTGAATCCAGGCTCTGGCTGTTGACTTGAGTTTCTCAGCAGTGCTGATGCAGGTGAGCTCCAGGCCTCAGGACTGTGGCTCTCGTAGAGGCCTGGTGCCATGGGTAAATCCAGCTGACAGCCTGCCAGGACCAACCATGACACAGACACGGAATACTTTGATCCACAAATTCATATCCTTCCCTCCCAGGCTGTGTGTGCCCAGCAAATACTGGTTGCTATGCAGTGCGCCTCGTGCTACCTTGCAACTGGCATAAAGCACTGAGGCCAAATGCTGCCTCGGCAAGGCAGCCAGCATCCCACATCTGCTGCCTTCGCTGCCTCACGGCCTGTTCACTCTTCAGCTCACCATAAACTTCCACTCCTTTGAAACCTGCTTGGGAAAGATATCCTGTGGCCTTCTAACTCAAGGATCACAGTGACTGCTGCTGGATTTTGAGCCATCTTGCTCTGGAGTCGAACACGGCCTTTTCACCTCCCTCGTCCATTGTGACGTGAGTTTTCCACCAACATCCTCTGGCAGCCGCCCTCCACTTCTTCCTCCCTGCTACCAGTCCACTGTGATCCAGTGAGTCACCAGAGCCTGTGGCTCTACACATTCCCGTGACTGCTGTTATCATTGCTGTTTTTTTTTTTTTTAATGATTATTTGAAAAGCAGAATGGCAAGGGGAGACACACACAGAGAAAATCTTCTATCTATTGGTTCACTCCCAACAGATGTGGCAACAGCCAGGGCTGGGCCAGGCTGAAACCAAGGAGCCTGGAACTCCCCCTGGGTCGCCTATGTGGCATATCAGAGGCTTAAATTCTTGGGCCATCCTCTGCTGCTGTCTCAGGTGTGTTAGCAACGAGCTGGAGATGGAAGCAGAGCAGCGAGCCAGGCTTCCAACACAGCATGCTCGAGTTTGGAAGTTTGGGCTTAACCCACTAGGTGACCATGGACTTAGTCCTGAAGAACTTTCTCCAGTTTTTTTCCTGTGGTGACAGGCCAAGCAATGGGTCCCTTCTAATCCATTCCTCCAGGCCCCCTCCAGGTTTGCATAGGTGATTCCCTTGCATCTTAATGCGTGAAGCTCATCCTACTGAAAACTCCCTGGGGAAAGGGATGAGTCCCAAGCGCCAGTCCGGAGCCATTCAACAATGACTGCTCTTCCAATATTGAGATCCATCCGGCTCCCCAACCCAGGGCACTGGCAGTTAGAAAAGGAGACCCTCTACCTAATCAGGGATTCTCATTTCACCCACGTCCCAACCCTGCCAGGCTTCTCCAACGGGACGGCGTGGCAGCGTCGGGGCGTGCATGAGGACCCCGGTGCAAGTGCAGGACACAGCGCCCAGGGCCGCGGGGAATGGCCGAGGCCCGACGCACGCCAGACGCCGGAGCGCAGTCCCATCCAGGCTTGGGTCTCCCTTTAACCCCGCCTCCTCCGCCTAAGCTCAACCCACTTTAGGGCGGGACTTCTTTCGCCAACCAATGGTAGGAGCCGAACCCTGGCGGTTTGTACTATTTCTTTCCAATGAGAAAAAAAGGAAGCCGCTTGGCTCCAATGGCCAATCGGAGGAGGCGGCGCCTGGTTGTCAGGCAGGTTTCTAAGAGTTCGGGCCAATTGGAGGCTCGGAGACTGCTCGACCCGGGCGCAGCGCGCAGGCGGTGGCGGAGAGACGCCGAGCGGGCCGAGTGCGGCCGAGCAAAGCCGGAGCCGGAGCGGGGCCGCAGGAGCCGGGCTGGGTCCGCACGGGCCGAGATGCCCTATAAACTGAAGAAGGAGAAGGTGAGCCTGGCCCTGGTCCTCGCGCCTCCGCCTCGGGGCCTGCGCGGAGCTCTGGGGAGGGGCCTGAGGCAGGCCCGGGACAGCCCAGCACTGACCCTCCCGTCCGGCCTCCGCAGGACTCCCGGAGCCAGCCCTCCGCCTTGGCGGCTGGCAGCACCCCCAGCCTACGCCGCAGCTGGGACAGCTCTCCCCAGCCCCCTTCACCTTATCCCGACAGATTCCCCCCACGACGTACACCTCCCAGCCTCCCTTCCTCGCTCCTCCCACCCCCTCCAAATCGGCCCTACTCGTTGGTCACTCCCCTGCGCTCCCCCTCCTCCAGGACTCCCCCTCCCCGCCCCAATTCCCCCCGCGGATTTGGGACAGCTTCCCCCTCTCCTCCCAGCAGAGACAGCACCTCCTTCCAGAACTGCCCCCTCCCCCCCGCCCTGCGCAGCCCCCTTCCCTGGGCTCTCCACACTCCCCTACCTACCACCCCTTCTCCCTGCGCGCCAAGCCCCCTGACCTACAAGAGGGCAGCTTTCCCTGTCCCCCTCCCCACACCCCTTTCCCCGTCGCTGGCCTGCACCCCTCCCTCTAGCTTGTGCTCCGCGCACAAACTTGTAAGCCTGGGCTGAGCCTGTGCTTCTGTCGCTGGAACCTCAGAACGCTGGTGCTGGTAGGGCGCCCCCCTTTCCTCCCCTCCCCCCAGCTCCGGCTGTGCAACCCTTTGTGGGACAGAGGAGGGGACTGAAGCCCCAGCCAGGGGGAAGAGACTTGTCCAAGGTCACATACAGCCTACTGGAGGCCCAGTGAGCACCTTGAACGCATCAAACCTGAAAACCTCTTGTGTCCCAAACCCTCCGGACAGGCGTCATAGGCTCCCAGCGTCCAGCACTCCCATTTTTTTCCTAATCCTCAGAAAATCTTTGCATTTCCCCCCCTTTTTTGGGCACTCTTGCTGGCTTCCAGCCCTTTCTGGGCCTGCTGTCTTCACATTGGGAGTGTGGCCTCCCTGTCAGATTGTTTCTCCTCCTTCTGCAGGCTGGGGCTCTGAGTTAAGCCGTTCCTTGCCATCCCGGTTTCCCCTACCCTGGAGGTCTGATTCAGAGGTGTGGTTCCTTGGAGGTACACACTCACACGGAGGATGCTAGGATACCAGTTCCAACCTCCCCCAGCTTCTTGCTCTCCTGGGGCTGGCCCCTGGTGGTGGTGGATGTCTGTGTGTGTGTAGGGGAGGTTGATGCTGGCCTGGGGTTCTGGTCCCTGTTTTCATGAGCCCAGAGGTGTATTGCTCTCATTTGCCAGCCTCTGGCCTTCTCAATCCAACTCTTCCTCTCGGGGCTGCTAGGTGTTTGCCAGGCAGCTTTGGTTCTGGTGCCTCCTGGGGATATGAGTGGGACAGGGTTGCATGCCCCCTGCACAAGCTCTGTCCTCAGGGGTGTGGGCTTGCCAAGGGGGTGGGACACTTGAGCTGTGGATGGATGGGGCACACACAGGCTCAGGAGGTCCCCAGCCATCTGTGGTTTCTAGTCTGATGGGCCACATGATGCCTGTTAGCAGGAAGCCTTGGCCCAACTAGGAGACTGAGGAGAGAAAGTCTCAAGGTTGCTGGGACCACAGGTGTGACGGGGGTGTTGGAAGGATGGGAGCACCCCACTTCCCTGTAGATATCTGTTTCAGCGGTCAGTCAGCCATTTCTGGGTCGAGGGGGCAGGGATGACGGAAGTGGGGTGACAGTGTGCCTGAGGTTTGCCTGGATGCTGTGGGGGCACAGAGCGAATGCAGATGGATAGAGGGGTGGCTTTCACCTGTTCTCCTTCCTGTTATCTGCTGGTGCCCCTCCTGAGCCCTCCTGTCCCCTCCTGTCCCCTGAGCCCTCCTCTAGGAGTGAGCTCTAGTCCCTCCTCTGGGGTTTGTAAAATACTCTGTAAACCATTTAGAAGCTTCTGGCCATGTCTGCAGTGGAAGTTAACTTTCCATCCCCTGAACCTCATGTTGGTTTGATGTCACCATTGTAGGTGCTTAGTGGACAGGTGCTGGGTTTTCTATTCTTCCCGTTCTCTCCTATTCTGGCTCTGGGCTTATCTTGTGTATTTCCTACACAGGCACGCCCCTGCTCCCTCCCACTTTTCTTTCTTGTGTTCATAACAGTAGTATTGACACTGGCCAACATTCATATCCCAGGAATGGGCACTGTGATGGCATCCTTTCCCAGCTAGGGGAAACTGAGGTCACACAGGCTAGTTATCTGGCCGGCAATGGCCCAGCTTACAGGAGTTGGGCCTGAAACACAGGGCTGGCCGCAAAGCTGGGTATCGTGGAACTGCGCAGGGTTGCTGGGTGGGTCTGGCGCGTGTGCAGTTCACCTGTTTCACAGGAGCGCGCTTCCCCAGGCCCACTCACACCCACACACCCAGCAGCGGGCTGTGTCTCAGGCACCCTTCCTGGAAGAGACGTCTGAGGCACTGTGCCGAGTGCCACAGGGTGGGCGGAGGGGCGCACGGGAGACCCAGGCAGCTGTCGATGAGCTAGAGTGAGGAGACCTATTGGGAAAAGGGAGCAACCTCAACCACGGGGGCGGTGGGGGGGTGGAGGAGTCCGTGTCCATAGTGTGTGCAGCTGTGTGTCCCGTCTGCCTGCTGCTCCCCTTTCCCCCGCCTTCTTTTTCTGTCCACCTCACACCTGGGGCTACTGACGAAGCCAGTGTGGCCAGCAGGCAGTGAGAGAGCGCTGAGCCCAGAGAAGCAGCTTCTGTCCTCCAAGCCTTGTGTGCTGCGGGGAGCTCCTGCGCACCCAGCCTCCTCCTTGCCTTCCCCACTGCAGCCCACACAGAGCTCTCTGCTCCCTGGATTCTTTTTGCCCCCATAGTCACAATCGCTTGACTGGAGCACTTCTTGCTCTAGACGTTTGGCGATGGTGGCATTGCAGAGTCTCAGAGTGGGAGTGACTTCCAGGCTAGACCCCTGGGCACTTTGAGCTTCCCTGGACAGCAGGTTCTTCTACCTAGTTGGGAGCCTCAGCTCATCTTCCAGAGATTTCAGCTTATTGCCCGTGCCGGCCCTGGGTGCACCTTTGGCAGCCCTGGGTTTTATTGGTGTAGCTCCCACCACAAAGGACTCCTCCCTCTCTTTGTTAGCTATCCCAGTTCCTGCAGCTGTTGTTTGGGTATGTGTGTGAGGTGGCGGGAACGACTTGGCTTTCTACTCTGCTCCCAGTGTGGATGGAGTTTTCCTGTAAGACTAGGATTTGGGCCCAGTGCGGCAGCCTGGCGGCTAAAGTCCTTGCCTTGCATGCGCCAGGATCCCATATGGGTGCCAATTCTAATCTTAGAGGCCTTACTTGTGGTCTGGGAAAGTAATCAAGGATGGCCCAAAGCCTTGGGACCCTGCACTTACATGGAAGACCCAGAGGAGGCTCTGGGCTCCTGGCTTCAGATTGTGGCCGTTGAGGATGCTTGGGGAATGAATCAATAGATGGAAGATCTTCCTCTCTGTCTCTCCTCCTCTCTGTATATCTGACTTTCCAATAAAAATAAAGTAAATCTTAAAAAAAAAAAAAAGATGACGACTAGGATTTGTTCCCTCCCAAGTGCAGATCCAAGCCCTCTAGGATGGCCTGGGGAGGGCCATGCCATCCTGTCCATTGGCTGGGAGTTCTTACAGGCTGTGGTGACTGCCACTGCTGCCGCATGTGGATGATCTATGTTGAGCCTGCAGTCAGCCCCAAACTCCCGAGTTTCTCTTGCACTTTCCCCTTCCCGTCCTGACGCAATTGCTTTTTTTGGCCTGAAAGCATAGGAAGAGACACTGGAGCCAGCTGCCAGGCTCCCCCATGGGAGACTTCAGATGCACGCTAGCTCCTTGCAACCCTTCAGGGCTGTGCCCTATTCCTGTTCCCAGAGCTGCCAAGCAGGTGCTCTTGACATTCCCAATACCTGTTAGCACCTCTGGACTCTGCTGAGGAAACAGCAGCAGCAACAACTTTGTGCTGGGTGGTGCCATTTGCCATGTCCAGAAAATGCTTCTCCATCTGTCCGGGAAAGCCCCCTCTCTGACCCCCTCATCCAGGAGCCCACTGCACATTTCGCTCCCTGAGCCTCCTTGCCTTGGTTCTTAGCTCACTAGAAGGCATCCCAGGTCTAACTCATGCATGTAGCGCCCTGGTGTGTTGGCAGATCAAAGAATGAGGGCATGCTTAGGTTACAGGGCTCAGGGAGGACTTCCCAAGTGGGAGCTCACCTCCTTAGAGGAACTGAGAGCTGCCTCCTGTGGCTGCCCCTCTCCCAACCCAGGACCAGATGCCAGGTCACATACTTTTTTTTAAAGATTTATTTTATTTTTATTGGAAAGGCAGATATACAGAGAGGAGAGACAGAGAGGAGGATCTTCCGTCCGATGATTCACTCCCCAAGTGAGTGCAGCGGCCGATGCTATGCCGGTCCGAAGCCAGGAGCCTCTTCCTCCGGGTATCCCACACGGGTGCAGGGTCCCAAAGCTTTGGGCTATCCTCGACTGCTTTCCCGGGCCACAGGCAGGGAGCTGGATGGGAAGTGGGGCTGCTGGGATTAGAACCGGCGCCCATATGGGATCCCGGGCGTGCAAGGCGAGGACCTTAACTACTGCGCCACTGCGCCGGGCCCCAGGTCACTTACTTGAAGAGTAACTGATGGAGTTGGTTGGATAGAGGATAATCATAACATAGACTTGAGTGGTCTAGACCAACCTCTCCTTTCCCCACTCCAGCATCCGCTCACCCTCTCCCATCTTCTGTCTTCAGGAGCCCCCTAAGATTGCCAAAGGCACCGCCAAGCCCAGCACCTCGGGCAAGGATGGTGGCAGCGAGAACGCCGAGGAGGTAAGGAACGGAGGAATGGGCGCCAGAGGCAGTGGCCTCCTGGTGTCCAGTGGGCTGATCCCAAGGGGCCAAAAGTCACTGAGACGGGAGGGAACGGGAATCTCTGTATCCTGAGAGCATTCCCTCTGCCTGGTATGTACCAGAGAAGATGCCCGGAGTCCAGCACAAGGCTTTTCTGTGTCTAGTGACTTTGAGTGTGGAGCAGTCAGGGGGCCTGGGGGAAGGTCCCCAGGTCCCCAGTGGGGTGACAGGTGAAGCAGGGGTTGGGAGTGGCTGATGTCTTGGAGTTAGACAGGGCTGGATGCCCCATGGAGTAGGAGCATGTCTGGAGAGCCCCGAACAGAGGTCAGTGCAGCTCAGCAGTCTCGGGTTATAAAGCAATAAACGGTCTGTCAGCAGAGAGCAGAGGGAGCAGAGTGGGTCCAGGGTACATCCCTGGACCTGGCCAGCGCTCTCGGGGACGCTTTGGATGATGAACGGTCTTTCTCCTGCCGTCTTTTTTTTCCTTAATATTTATTTATTTAGCTGAAATACAAAGTTACACAGAGAGAGGGAAAGCTAGATAGAGACAAATCTTCCATCTGCTGGTTCAGTCTCCAAATGACCACAATAGCTAGGAGCCAGACTCCATCTGGGTCTCCCACATGGATACAAAGGCACAAGCACTTGGGTCATCTTCCACTACTTTCCCAGTCACAATAGCTGGATCAGAAATGGAGCAGCTCAGACTCAAACCAGCACCCACATTGGATGCCAAGGTCACAAGTAGTGGCTTTGTGTGCTGCACCGCAGTGCCAGATTGCATGTCAGCTCCTGAAAACTGCATTCTTCAGCCATTTACCCACATCCCCTGGCTGGGGTTAGGGTTCTTGTGAATTGCCCTCCTGGTGACCAGGGCGGGGGAAACACTTAACCACAACTAACGAGTCAACTGCTTGTAAATATGGAAGTTCTGTGAGGCTCCTGTTTTGTTTATTTTTATTGTTGTTTACATAGTTGGGAAGGATGTATGCCCATAAGGGTCTCGGATTAGGGAAGGGAGGGTGGAGGTATGGAAGAAGGTGGGTAGGACATATCTTTCAGTTTTCTTTTTCCTAGTCCACAGTGGGTGAAGGGGAGGGGGCCACTCCTTGCTGACAAACTACATTGGCACTTGGGGATAGGGGACAGTCCTTTGCTAATACCTTAGAGATCCTGATGTGGGGAAGAGTGTACCAAGGGTGTTACTTTAGTGGTTTTGATAGTTTTGAGATGTAATTTACTTCATTGCAGCAAGGTTGAGAAAATCTTTCCAAGGTCTGTTAGCTGACCAAGCCTAGCTCAGTGCATCTTCAGGCCCAGGAACATGCTGCAAAGCTGGGCCATGAGCATGGTCCAACCTACCCTACTTTCCATCCACTGACGTCCTCTGCTGTTGACGTCCCCTGTTGGCCTAGATGAACAGGCTGTCATGTCCCCCATGTGCATCTGGGCACACTGTCCACTGCACAGACAGCAGCACCTGGTCCTGATACATGCACTCTAAGGTTGGACCACATCCTGAGATTTTTCCCTGTGGCCCAAGTTTGAGTTCAGCCATATAGTTGGGGAGTCTGCCAAGGAACCTTGCATGGGCTGACCTCAGACTTGACTTTTGCATGTGCTAGTCAGCGTAGGGTCAGGTTTATTCTATCATTTGCACCAGCCAAGGCACATATTGATGGATGTGGCTGCCTGGTTAGCTCAACCCCCAGCTCGATCTCTCACATGAACCGATGGTGTTGTGGTCCAGCCCAGTCTAGCCCAGCCCGCCACAGGCCCAGTCTTCATGTACACCAGAGGGTGCCATGGACACACCTGTTGTTGAAGAGCCTGGCACAGCTGGGGACACCCAGCACTGGAAGATGTATTTATTTTACTTGAAGCTGGGCTTATGCATAACTGGGAGCCAGGAGCTTCCTTTGTATCTCCAATGTGGATACAGGGTCCCAAGGCTCTGGGCCATCTTCTGCGGCTTTCCCAGGTCGTGAGCAGGGAACTGGGTTGGAAGTTGAGCAGCTGAGACTTGAACTGGAGGCATCCATTTGTGCTTGTGTCACAGGTGGAGGACTAGCATGCTATGCCACCACACTAACCCCAGCACCCAGCATTTGAATGCATGAATGAGGATATAAGTGGATGAGTGAATAAACAACTGAACCAACTTTAAATTAAATCTGGTAGGGACTTCAGTGTCTAGAACTGTTGTATTTCATAGAGAGGAAATTTGAGGTGAGAACAGATTAAGAAGTATGCTGAGTGGGTGTTGGGGTGCAGTGGTTTAGCTGTTGCTCTGGATGCCCATAGCCCATGACGATGTGCCAGGGTTCCAGTCCTGGCTCAGATGGCCCGTTCCTGCTCACATGCACTTGGGATGCAGCAAACGATGGCTGCAAGTGTTTGGGACCCTGCCACCCATGTGGGTGTCCCACACAGTTCTTGGCTCCTGGCTTTGGATTGGCCTGCCTGGCTGTTAGCATGTGGGGAGTGAATCAGTGCATTGGAGACTACTGTCTGTCTGGCTGGCTGGCTGTATGTCTCTGAATGTGTTCCTGCACCTTTCACATGAGTTAATGAATGAATGGAGTATGCTGAGGCCAAATGCTATAATTTCTTCACTGTGATTTCTAGACAGATCTGATGGGGAAGGGAGCATGTTGAGTTTACCCCGGGCTGTGTCCTAAAACACCACCCAGGGCTCACGGGGCTGAGACAGCCACAGGATTTGCTCTCTCTGACCTGGCATCATACCCACATCAGGGTCGGCAGGCGTGCTGGAAGCACCAGGGCTCCGCCTACTAAGACTTCTAAAGCTGCTTGGCACCAGTCCTTCCCTTTGGCTTTTTTGAGTCTAGGCTTTGGTGTGCTCTCAGCCAAGTTCATTCCGTGTGCAGCCTTTGCTGGGGCAGCACTGCCACATCCCGAGCTGAGCAGCGTGGCACGGCAGAAGTCTGTCCTCTCAACATAGTTGAGGTGCTGGCCCTTCGCAGGTTCCCAGGAACAATCTGACTCCACTCCCGGCTTCTGGTGGCTCTCGCAGCCCTTAGTGCGCCGTGGCTTGTGGCTACACCAACCCAGGCTCCACCTCTGTCATCACATGGCTTCTCTACTGTGGCCTTGTCCTCGTCCAAACTTCCCTGTTATAAGGACATCTGTGGTAAATGGATTTAGGGCTCCCCCTAATCCAGTGTGACCTCATTTTGGTTTGGTTACATCTGCAAAGCCATGTTTCCAAAGAAGGTCACTTTTTCTTTTAAAGGGTTTATTCATTTGGGCCTGGCGAAGTAGCTTAGTGGCTAAAGTCCTCACCTTGCATGCACTGGGATCCCATATGGGTGCTGGTTTGTGCCCTGCCAGCCCACTTCCCAGTCAGCTCCCTGCTTGTGGCCTGGGAAAGCAATTGAGGATGGCCTAAAGCTTTAGGATCCTGTACCCATGTGAGAGTTCAGGAGGAGGCTTCTGGCTCCTGGCTTAGAATTGGCTTAGAATTGGCTCAGCTTCATTGCAGCTACTTGGGGAGTGAAACAGTGGATGGAAGATCTTCCTCTCTGTCTCTCTGTATATCTGCCTCTCCAATAAAAATAAACAAAACTTTTTTGAAAAAAGATTTATTCATTTATATGTTTGAAAGACAGAGAGAGGGAGGGAGAGACAAAGAGATAAAGATCTTCCCTCTGCTGATTCACTCTGAAAATGGCTTCAATGACTGAAGTTAGGCCAAGCTGAACCCTAAAACTTGGATCATGCTCTGCTGCTTTCCCAGGTGCATTAGCAGGGAGTTGGATTTCAAACAGAGCAGTCGGGACTGCGGGATGCCGGTTCTAGAGGTAGTGGCTTTACTCACTGTAACACAGCGCTGGGCCCAAGGACGCATTCACAGACTGTCAGTGGATGTGAATTTTGAGGGGGTGGGCCCTGTTGAACCCCGTACACTGCATCCCAGCCCAGGCAGCGCCCGAAGGACTCTGCATGCCACGGTGTGGCTCAGTTAACCTTCACAGCTCTTCCCCGGGGATGTTCTATTATTGTCTTCCCCATTTCACAGAAGAAACTGAGCCTCAGAGATGGAAAATTGAGCTTTTCCTCAGCCAGTGAGTGACAGAACTGGAATGCAACCCTGAGCCTCTCTTACAGCCATGGGGATGGGATGCACTGGCTCTCACATTCTAGAAGATAGTTGCAGAGTGGAGGGATGCTTTGGGAGAGCAGGTGAGACACACGGTGACCTGACTGCACAGGTCAGTCTTTCCAGTCTGTCTGAGCAAATCCTTTAATGCCATGAACTCCTAGAGCTGTGCCCCATCCCAAGCGTTGGGAGCAAAGGCACTCAGAGAAGTTAATCCCAATCTCCCCCACTTTAGCAGGCCCTCCCTAAGGCCAGAGTTCAGAACCTAAAAATCTTCTTGGACTTCTCAGTCTTCTACCGTTGGCGGGGTGAACGTGTGGTGCAGTGGGGAGGACTTGGCTTGAGACTCCCACATCCTGTGATAGGAGTGCCCAGGTTCACGTTCTGGTTCCAGATCTTGATTCCAGTTTCCTGCTAATGTTGCATCCTGAGAAGCCACAGGTGACTGTGACTCGAGTGCCTGGGGCCCTGCCATCCCCATAGCAGGCCTTGTCTGAGTTCCACTGGCTTCAGCCTGACCTGGTCCCAGCTGTTTCTCTGGGGTGTGAACCAGTGGATGCAAGATCTCTATGATCTGTTTTTTAAATAAAAAATACATTAAAAATAATAGAAACCACATCTTGGCATCTCGCTGCTTGTCAGTTAACACCTAAACTTGGTGTGGTACCTTCTGCCCTTCTAAGCCACCTCATCTTACTCTTCTTGTACCTACCTTAGCTTCTTGTCCCACTGAACTTACCATCTTCTCACTCAACAGGCCTTTTATGAATCAGAAATGTGGCTATTGGCCTGGAGTACTTTATACCTCTCCTTTCTCTCGCTTTGTTTCCCTCTTAATGTCGGTTTCTCCTCTAAG